TAGCAAGCTGTCAGACCTCTACCCTAGGTGGGAGAAAACATATTACCATTAATATTAGTGAGCGTCCATTAAGATTGCAAATAGACACGGTATCAGATGTGACCATTCTCTCTCGGAAAATTTGGATCGGAACGGGCAGGCCACGCATCGTGCCAACGACACAGAAACTTCGTACTGCATTCGGTAATTATCTACGTTTGTTGGGACAACTAGGTTGTAAAGTTTCTTTTCACGATTCGACATTTACCGGGGTATGTTACATCACACCAGCTGATCTTAATCTACTTGGGTTAGACTGGTTTGACCGGCCACATTTAGCTGACGTTCCGTTAAGCACTGTATGCCATCTGATGAAACACCCTCATGAACCTGAAGCATATTCGTTTTCCAGCTTGTATTGAGTCAGTGCACTGCTATGAAAGCAAAACTTCGGTTGAAACCTGGAGCTAAACCTGTCTTCTGTCCAAAGAGACCAGTGCTGTACGCAGCATTATCGAAAGTTGATGAAGAACTTAATCGCCTTCAACTACAGGGAGTTATTACACCTATTTCTTATTCTGTCTTGGCAGCACTCATTGTGGTTGTTAAGAAGGCTAATGGCATAACCCCAATATGCGTAGATTTTTCCACAGATCTTAACGCAGCTCTCAAACAGCATCATTAGCCACTGCCAGTCCCTGCAGATTTGTTCACGATGTTAAATGGTGGGAAGTTCTTTGCAAAGCTGGATCTCGCTGATGCCTATCTACAAGTGGAATTGGCTGAAGATTAGAGAGAGTTACTTACCATAAATACTCGTCGTGGCTTGTTTCAGTACAATCACCTACCATTTGGTGTTAAAACGGCCCCATCTATTTTTCAGCAACTAATGGATACCATTCCACCGGGTATCCCGTGGGTCGCAACTTATCTCGATGATATCTTAATTGTTGCCACATCGTTAGAACAGCTTCGAGAACGCACGACAGCTGTGCTACAACGCATCTGCAATAACCGGTTCCGATTAAGCCCAGAAAAATGCCAGCTTTTCTTGAAGTCAGTAAAATACTTGGGATTCATCTTTGATGCCGCAAGTCGCAGAAAATATTTGAGCTATAAAATTGATGCCGACTCCCACTAATATCTCTGAGCTACTATCATTCTTGGGAATTATTGGCTAATACTTAGCGTTTGTTCCGTCGATGCATGACGTATGCGTCCCCTAAATCATCTTCTGAATAAGAATACCAGCTGGAACTGGACAAGACAATGTGAAGCTGCATTTTGCAAGCTGAAAAAAATCATTAGCTCTGAACTGTTACAGACACACTACGATCCGTCCATGCCTATCATTGTCACTGCAGACGCCTCAGCTTTTGAACTCAGTGCTATCATCTCACACCAGTTCGCGGACACAACAGAGAAAGCTAATGTTCGTGCCTCTCGAATATCAACTCCAGCGGAAAGAAAGTACGGTCAAATGGAGAAAGAGGCTCTCACCCTTGTGTTTGCAGTACGCTGTTTCCACAAGTTCTTGTACGGTCGAAGATTTACTCTTCTCATTTATCGCAAGCCTCTTCTCACAATTTTCGGTTCAAAATCTGGTGTTCCAACCTACTCTGCAAACCGTCTCCAGCGATGGGCTTTGATACTTTTAGGTTGTGACTTTAACATTCAGTACCGGCTCACCCAACAGCTTGGCTAGGCTGACGCCTTGTCGCGACTTATCAGCGAACACCATACGACCGACGAAGATGCAGTTATTGCCTCCCTAATGACAGATGACCACGCGCAATGCTATCTGAAAACCGCTATTCGTGCTTTGTCAGTTTCAGCATCCGAAATACAATCCGCATCCAGGAACGACTCAATCATAAAGAGAGAGATGAAATACGTCACCAATGGCTAGCCACCAACTGGACTCGATGGTGAGCTGAAGCAGCTTTACCACAGTCGAAACTCATTGTGTCGTAAATGAATGTGGCCTCTACGATAGCGGCGAACAACAGTCAAGATGCAAGTCGGCCACAGAAAAGTACGCTGTTAAAAGGAGAGGTGTGTTCAGGACGATAGATTCCCAGAACTCACTTGAGAAAAGACCCAATTTTGTAAATTTATTTAAAAAATTTGAATTTCTTTGTTTTCGCGCCTGCTGTGAACCGGGAAACAAGAAGCCCTGACAAACTACGAAGGCTATTTTTCGGGACGTTATTTCATTTTATTCAAAGCTTGTAAAACACTGACATTTATTTTTGTCCCTAATCCATTCTACAGAACATAAGCTTTCGTTCGACGTATCATTCACTGCCATACCTTTTTCTGTTCCGAAGCTATTGTAATTTAAACATATTATTTTGCACCCTATTTTCTACTCTGATTCCCAGCTTTGGACATAATTGTATTTTTCCTAATTATTGTACGTTGCGGTCGGGTTATTCACGTATTTATTCATGTATATTTTTACACTAATCTGAATTCAGTGAATTCAGTGAATCCAGTGAGTTCAGTGGTCAGGGAAATAGATCGAGTAGTGTTCCAGCTGTCTTGTCTTCTCTCATTCGTGTGCTTGCCAACCAATCAGGTGGCAGAATAGTTTTCTTTCTCTCTACCCCATCTCGAACTCACGCGTACTAGTCTCAAGGTTAAGCCGATCAGCCTATCGCGTCAAGGTCGAAGTCTAGATTAGACAAGTATCCTCGGCACCAAAAGTGGGTAGACAAATCATGGTCATAACATCTCCAAAAGCGCTCTTGACACTTTTGTGCCGTATTTTCCACTTGGGAAATATCTTAAATGCGATCGGTCCGCTGCGTCTTTTAGCATGCTATTTGGTGACTCTCCCCAAAGACGGTTTTGTGCTGTATAAATACGTTTTGATTTGTGTTTGTCGTTATCGCTCGTTTCTGGCTGTTTGCAGAATATACTTCTCCATTCCAAGCTTGAACTTCTCCCTCTAGTTAGCGGGGCTGGAACGCATCAAGTAGCTAGCTGATTGTTCTTCGGTCACTGAGTCTTTGTTCGGTTCGCAATCTAAGTGAACTCGTGATAGCTTCAAACCCAGCAGATTGTTACGACGCGACGAGTTGGTGTAGATAATAATGTGACTTCCGCGTTAGATCTTATAAATTAGGCAGTTACATCATGACAAATCTACACTTTGGGATTAAGTATATTATTAGACCGGCATTAATATCATAGTAGACCATAATTCTACAGGCAAATTTTCGGCACTTAATAAAGTAGAGTAGGACATCTAGGATAAGTTGCAAATTGCACATAAGTTTTTTCTTTAGAGAAGTGTTATAGGTTGGTGCTACCGAAACCCTTAAGCTAAATTCGAACTCAGAAGTTGACAACGTACAAGAAATTTCGTTGGAAAAAGTGGTTCCGACATGTCAACTTTTACTCAAGTTACAACCTCTCATGGTGAGAGCCTCACAAATTATTTTTCGATAGGTTCTTCACCATATCCCCTTAGACTTCGTTTCAGACGACAACAAAGAAGAATCCAAGTCTTTTTGTTTGCATCTATAGGTCACGTTCTCAGTTTCAACAGGTATCTTCAGCGAACGTATATCTGCTCTTCGTCGAACATGTATTTCTGAGGTTCTTTAAAGGCTTTTTGGGATCCACGTCTGATATTGTAATGAGTGTACATATCTGTGGAACAACAATAATGAAATTAGTCCAACATTGTAGACGTGATGAACACTTGAAATCGCTAAGTAACTTTTGACCGTCCTAGAAAGCAATTTCACGGGAATACAGCAACTAGTCAAAATTCCTGTATTTACGAGAAAATGGATGTGTAAAAGTTTCAGCTGAAGCGACTTGGAAGAGAACAGTTGAGTGTGACAGCTAGACCTACTTCAAAGTAGATTAACCTTATTGTGATTACGGTAGTTAGATTTGTTATTGCACCTGTCCACCAGCGAGGTGAAGGCGAAGCCTATATCAATCGATGTGTTTGAGTATCACAGAATGGAAGTCAACTAGTGGATACTTCCTGCTATTGGTGAAAGATTTGCGAAATCAAATCAGGCTAGATGAGTGCTCGCACAAAGACATGAGACAAACCAGCCTGTTGACGAAGATCTGATAAATATTGGGTCGAGCTTATTGATAAGATATGTTTGATCGACTCTGTCAAGTGCTCTTAAGAAGTCGAGGTGAATTATGTCGACCTTCTCTTTGCTGACGAGGGTGATAGTCCATCTGTCCACTGCACTGAGTAGGTTGGTGATGCAGAAACAATACGTCCTGGAAGCGTAATGTTGGAGACGAAAAGAACTATATAGATAGCAAGTAGTCTTATGGGCCATCGCACACCAGGAAGTCCACAACCTTTGAGGGTATTAAACGAAGTGCAACCGTTCTGCACTTCGAAAGCCCATTGGGTTGTGAACCTTTAAAAGTTGTTGTGGATCATGTTTAAATCAGGTGATGTATTCACGTTTGGGCGCTGAGGACTGGTACACCAGTCATGCGCTCAGATTCACTTCCAAGACTCCTGTTGAGTCTCAGGTAGGGCTCTCGTCAGTGTAGGTCGCATGAGACGACTAAAATGTCTGTGAGCACTGTTCTATCAATAGCTGAGGAGTAGAACCAACGTTGTTGCTTTGGAAACTCCAGCTCTGGCTAGTCAAAGAGAGGCTGAATGACGGAATAAGTTATACAGACTGGAGGTAAGTTCTTCGATTAGATTAATCTGATACGACAGCCTCGCTTTACGAGAACAGGTACGGTTACTCAGTCATTTTGTGTTTCCCGAAGAACCATAGAAATTGTAAGACACCAACGAGTGATAAGCAAAGGTGTAATTCTAACACCCCCTCGTAGAAGAATCAGTGTTTAAGTATCCATTTCTGATGTCTTTAAGAAAAGTGAATGCTCTAGAGTCCATTGTCTCAGATAATGCTTTGAATCTGTAATCTCTATGAGAAGTAAAAGCTCTAAAGATTGAGAAAAATTGTCCAACTGTGTTCTGTTCTCAAGGTCAATGACCTGAGACGATAGTCTCTGTTGAGTTAGATGTTTTGCGTAAGGTCAAAGCGCGTATGTTGATGTTCGCGTTATGTTTCCAATACTTGTAACATGACGACAATCGAGTCCAGTGAGTTTTACGGTTTCGATCTTATTTTCAGTCAACAAAGTATCTTCCGTATACTTTGGATCGCAATAGATGACTTCAAATGGTTGATTTACAGCTTTTTACTAGATTTCGGAAAACTTGTCATATCTTCCTTATAATGTAGTTTTGTCCATTCTACTCTCACTTTTTTATGGTTCTCTTCGTCCGTTTTGTTAATGAACCATTTAAAAAGTGCACCAGATCTCAAAGGACGTTCTTAGTTTTTTTGGGGCGATTTTTTATTGTAATAATAATCATTTATTTTGCATTTGTAAACATCAAAAGAGGTTTATAAGAGTCTTTAATTGATAACGGTTTCGCCGCCACGTCAGTCGTAAACCTGTTTACGGCTCCGAAAAATCTTGTCCTTCAAATCGTTCTCAGGAAGAAGCTATTGCAAGTTGACTCATCGTTTTCTGTGTATTGTCAACTCATAAAATCTGTGTAAATATCTCTGCACCCAAATTCAATAATAATCCTCCAATGTACCAGATAACTTAAATCGTTGAGTACACTTCAAACATTCCTACTTAGTTACTGAAACTTACTACCTCTCTTGGGGTATAGTATGCCAACCAGAGAGCTTCAAGTATCTCTGTTTTGTGCTCCTTCTCAGTTGTTGCCAAGTTGTCCCCATATTCTCGATGTCTGCCTCCGATTCTTGGATCCATGTGTTCTTTGATATGCCTCTTCCTTTAGCATTGGGAATTTCAATTCAAGACTTGCCTTTTGATCGAGCTTAGTGACTTCCTCAGCATATCCTATTCATCTCCACTATCTTTTCCCGATTTCTTCCTCAACTGGTAGCTGGCTTGTTCTCTGGCAGAGTATGTTATTGTTGGTGGTCTCTGGTCAGTGGATCTGGAGTATCTTGGGTAGAGAGATGTTTGTAATTACTGGTAGTAGTAGTAGCAGTTATCCAAGTTTCAGCTCCTTATGACAGGATTATTTTGACATAAGTGTTGAAAATTCCGATTTTATTCCTGAATGACAGTTGCTTTGAGTTCCGAATATGTTTCTTTTGTAGGATCGCTATTCTGGTCTGATGCATCTTAGCTCTGTACTCTGCCAATCACACATAAGGTTCAAACCAGACCCTTAAGTTTTCTCGTGATACACAATATTATTAGGTCACTAAGTCAAAATCTGACGGTACACGTTATCTATTTCAGTCATTTCGCTTTAATCCTCTATTCTCATTCGATTCTCAGTTTCATTTGATTTTTCACGCCTCACCTTACCAAATCTACTGGTCTCGGCTTTTCATGACATTTCGAGAAATCGCTTCTGGAAAATAATCTTTTGTGGTTGTCTTATGTTTATTCTGTATGAATATTGTATTGATTTTGAGAAAATTTCGGCCTATCGAAATCTTCTGTAGAACCATCATAAATCAGAAAACATTGTTTGAATGTTTTTAATGTAAGTCATAATATTCGGTTAAAGGTTAACCATGTTGTGTTCTGTACATCATTTTATTTGTTTATCTTAATTATATTCCTAACGACTGAGAAATGTTTATACATATGTGTTGTAATCGGCTTTATAAATTTGTACTTTCTTAAATTATTCATTGAAGGTTGTGACTTTTCGCCTTGATTTTAATGTGGATGTTTTCGTAACTTTCGTGTTGAGAACCTATTTATTTTTTGATAATCATTATGTGCAGAAAATCTTCGTGGTTTTAATTTATTCGGACTATGGTTTATCCGCTTTTTGAATCCGGTTTGAAAATATTTGCCTTAGTTTAACATTTATGACTTGGTTCTTAAATGTTATAATCAGTTCAAATTTATTTCTCTCTCGCACGAAAATTTAGAATATTGTTCTGAGATATCCGAGAACTGTTTATGGTCATGTCAATTTTAGACTCTTAATATCTACCATATTCTTTGTTTGTTACATCACTAGGCATAATACTTGTTTATCTCTAATCTATCGTGTTTTAATACGTATATTTTTATTGTCTGGTTACTAGATGCAGTTAAGTTATTAATCAGGTCATATTGCTTCAGAACTTGCTAGTATATAGTTGCCAGTAAATAATAGTATGTATTTTGGTTTCTTCCTAATAACATGTTGATTTTCTGTGTTAAGGAGTTCCTCGTCGGCGTGCGAATTCTGCAGAACCCAGGACAAATTATTTTGTACGGAAACTTTCCAAATTGGTTTTAAATGAAAGCAACCTCCAAAATACCTCTTATCTCAAGGATTTTAATATGAACCGCAAATTGTTTATACAACAGACGAAGTTTACCAATCCTTTTTCCCGTCTGGATTTTCGGAAAAAAAAGAAGAAGACTGCTAAAGTCAAAGTTGTATGTAATATTTCACTCATCGGTTGTATATTGCTTTTAATAAGGTCTTTGATTTTATCACTCATCCTCAATATCATCATTATTGTGGATAATCTCACCATAGACTGATGACAGTGTGAATAGAATTTTCAGTAAATGTCGTCATTTTCATTTTATTTGTGTGTGAGCTGTGATACTGCCCGGGTACCCAGACCGAAGCAGGTGGTTTTCTTGGGGGGCCACACCCCGAGCCTTTGATCTAAAGGTCTAACCCACAAGGCAATGGGGCATCGTGAGAAGATGCAGTCCCATGGTAGCCGGTGACCAAGAAATCGGTTCATACGCCATTTGTTCCCTCAGGATACTGGAGCCCATGTGCACCATTGATTTGGGATCCGGTTAAAGCGCCGGACATTCGCTTTTCGTCCTCTCATTTTCGTAAACAACACCCCCGCCACGAGAAGGCAGTGAGTAGGACTTCCCTGGCAGAGGCTGTATACGCGTGGCCGTGCGAGATCATTTCGTGAGGGAGGGCGGGCTTTCCTCACTCTCGATCATACCAGGGCATTTGGGGGCAGTGTGACAGAGCTGCCAAGCACTCCAGACCAAAACGTAGGACATCTTGGGTCATATCAATGTACTAAAAGTTCGAATTATTCACCACATAACACCCACCCATCTACCTTATAGTTAGGGAGAGGTATTACTTAAATAAAGCTAATAACCGTCAAAAATCATTAGAACGACAGGAAAACTAAATAGTTGAGCGTAAGACTAATAGTTGATATTCATTTAGAAGATTGCCAAATAGTCAACTTGTGGATCGTTTACCTTAAAATACTAACATAATATATTAACTCCAGTTGCCTGGTGATTGCCCTAATGATAACAAAGAAGAATAAAATAAAAGGTATAAAAGTAAAACATCGTCCCTACCCTTTGCCAAAATTTTACGTTTAGACAAGTAAATCTTTCAGTAAACGAACTTTTATTAAGTTCAGGAGTCTCAGTTGTGGCACCAATCGGTATTTTTCTGATATATTCTTTAGTTCAGAGATGAGTTCTCGGGTGCTGAGTGTTATTTAGAACAGCAATCGACTTATATCTAATCTCATGATAATTATTTTTGAATTCTTACCAACGGCTTATATAATGACGTTCATACTCAAACGTTTGGCAATTAAAAGTTGGACACTTACTTATGCATTGGTACAGGCTAAAAAGAACTACATCATCCAATGACTGTGCTGTATTTTGTAATAGATGCTTTATTTGTCGTGGTATGATTTCATTCTTGAAGTCTTTGTATTGTGCTCCTGATTATACTAGTTCTTGAAAAGTCTGGAATCACATTTTGGAAACTTAATTTTGGTTGTCTTTGTTAGAAGTCCGTACAATAGAATCTCATAATTTCAACTAACTATGTAAAACAACATACCACTACCACTCATTTTCTGAGATGGTAGAGAAGATTTGTAGCTCAGGTGTATGATTTTGATGGAGTTTTGTTGTCTCCATCAAACTCATTTTCTAAATTTATTGCTCTATGATGTTTTAACTTTCTTTCAAGACTGCCAATCAATAAACCCTTAAGAAACGAAACACATATTGGTACTTAGAAACAGTCTTGGTGTTGATTTTAATTCTATCTACAAGTATTATTTCTTTTTTTATAAGCCACCATTGGATTTTTCCCAGTCGTATACTGAGTTGATTTTGGAACTTGCCTACACATCAAACTTAACACGTCAAGTTATTCGACCATTTAATCGTTGTCATTTAATAAGTCAATTAACTGAATGTGCACGCTTGATTCGTGGACGTATTGCATCCGGTGCTGCATGTATCCAGCTTCCTTTACAAGCCGATTCCAAAAATGACGAACAACGTATGAGTGACAAGTGAGTTTCGTTTACTGTTGAGGAAAGAAAACGATTAGAGTCCTTCTTCATTTCCAAACTATACCAATTGATTGCTAGGTAACAAACACTGTGCTTCTCACTCTTCAGTTTTATTAATCACTTAGCCAATAGACTAAAACCTCAATATACTTTGTGTAAGTCCAGCAGAGCACCGTTTTCTTCAAAGCTAAGGCATCATCGCTTAGGACTTCCTACACATCACTTTCTGAAACATTTTATTTAATAGACTGACACAGGTTTCCGATCGCGTTATTGTTTACTCGGAATATGAACCTACTAATTTTATTATAGAGGCATAAAAGTAATGCCCATCGTATAGCTTATGGAAATCAAAAAGTGATAGGCTTTATGGTCTTTCTATTTGCCATTCTTAGACAAAAATATGCAATACCTAATGAATACTTGGCTAAAAATCCAGTGTTGATCTTTTCAAAATCCTTAAGGTATTGCTAAAATCATTTCTCAGCTCTTGAATTCCAACTGTTGAAAATTACTAAATATTAAACACTTTTCTTTTCATTGATAGGCACAGATAAATATACCGATGATAAAACCAAAATCGTTGAGCTTTTTATGGAATTAGGCTTTGAACTCTTAACCATGGTACCGTTTGTTGTGATTTTCATTATTAGTTTAGTCATATTTCTTTGAAGAGCACAAAATAAGAAGAACTACTCATTAAACACACGAATAATTAATGATTCATGTCAGTGCAGTGATTAGAGGTCGAAAACATTTTCTTTTTGATTCAAATTTTTTTTGATTGTTAGCCCGAAATGTATGTATTATTTTTGTAGGTAGAGAAAGAAGAATCTATGCCGAAACTTATCAATTCAATACTTAGTTATCTTTAAGTAAAATCTTTACATATATTGGCAACTTGAATATGTCGAAGATTTAGTCAAATACTAAATGATCGATAATTAAAATAATCTAAAAAGTTATATAACTTTTGACATTATGGTTATATTATGAGTTTATTATAATATTTGTCAGGTTACTGCTAATTTTCTTCACTTTTATACGAAAAGTATTTGTTGATATTCTTTTTATTCCTACGGAATCGTGATTATTCTTATTACTTATCAAGAAATTTTTCTACTGGAGCTTACCAATGTTGATGCAGCCTATATTTACTTGCACTGCCCTGAAGGTTTATTTCTTCATAAGGTACATTGCGATAGTCATATTTTCTGGCTAATGGGGAAGTTTCAACTTCTTAGGAAAAGAGCATGATTAGTTTTAAAAAGCAATTTATTAAGTTTATGCATTTAGATACTCATGATGTATATATGAGGTACATACGAAACTTTCTGATATGAATAGCAGCATGTCACGATTTAAGCTTAAGTCTTATTATGATGGACAACAAACTAAAATAGCGAAACATGAACAGACCACTTATATCATTGATCTCACTCTTCTCTATTTCCCATATCTCTCATAAATAGAAGTATATATACTTAAGTTCGCAAGTGAGTGAGTATATAAAATACGCTTTATCATTTAAATCTTATTAACTATGATCAGAAACCTACTATACAATTGGTTGGAGCATATATAGTTACACTCATCATTGTTTATTGATCTTCTAGTGTGTTATAATGAAATGTAGATTTATGTATTGCAAAAATTAAAACGGTGTACCGTTTATGACTTAGTACACTGTTTTTATGTTTTTTAAATTCAATCCCATTAATAAATTAATAAAGTGATTGGGATTATTGAGTTGCGTTTTTTAAAACTCAAACGTCAAGTAGCACTCATATGATGAATACTTCTGCGAAAAATTATCTTGACCTAAGAGGTTATTCATTCTACCCTTGAAACTCTCTTTAGTTAAAGAACTAGTGCAAATTTTCTAACTAAACATAGCCTTGAGCGGATACTCGTTCAAATAAAAACGGAGTGTGTGGTTAGACCATAATCTTTTCAGATTGCAACACATAATGGATACACTCGATGGGATAGGTATTAAAAGGAGTAATATTCTGTTATATCAATTCAACAAGTGAGTTCTATACTTCTTAGCGTGGTATATAAAGAATTTGATGACTTTCCTGCTGATTGGTTGTAAACGCTTCTCAACTTATCATTTAATAACTTTTAGATATACGCAGAAAGTGAATCGTTCTGAATTACCACACCGGTCAGGTGATATGTTGATAAGTACGTTTGGGCAGTGTATAAGACAATCAGAATTAATGTGCATTTGCAATATCGAGTTATGAAGTTTTATTTGATATGGTTTTCGGCCTCAATTGACAGAGTTTAAATATTAAATCAGTTAGTCAGTCATAAATAGCATAGCACCAGGCACAAATTTCCATCGACTCGAATAGCCATGCCACGTGAGAAACTTACTTACTTAATTACTTACTTACAACTGTTACTCCCAATGAAGCATGGGCTGCTGACCAGCATTCTCCAACCCACTTTGTCATCGGCCTTCCTTTCTAGTTCTATCCAATTTTCGTTCATTATTCTCATGTCTGTCTTTATTTCTCGGCGTAATGTGTTCTTTGGTCTTCCTCTTTTCCTTTGTCTTTGAGGATCCCAAGTGAGGGATTGCCTTGTAATGCAGTTGGGTGCTTTCCTCAATATCTGTCCTATCCTTTTCCAGCGCTTCTTCCTGATTTCTTTTTCCGCTGAGATCTGGTTTGTTCTCTCCCATAGTAGGTTGTTGCTGATACTGTTTGGTCAATGGATCCGAAGTATTTTGCGTAGACAGCTGTTAATAAACACGTGTATCTTCTGGATGATGGCTTTAATAGTTCTCCAAGTTTCCGCCCCATACAGTAAAACTGTTTTGACATTTGTATTGAAAATTCTGACCTTGGCCACGTGAGAAAAGCGAGGTAAAATTCTACAGTAGTAACATCATTGGTAGTAAAAAGACTACACAAAGAGAATGGTTTACGAGTTTAGATATTAGATACTCAAATACATAGTTTGAAACCAGGTCACCAAAAATCAGGGATGTTGTTCTATAAGTTAGAATTATCACCACTTTCTGAGTACTTGTGTAGGTTGAAGATGTTGTTCAAGCAGTGCTATCAGACATAAACTATGGTGCAGGAATTAGTAACAAAGTTACTTGCTGACATGTTTAGGACAGTTTTTGCCAGAGGTGTGCTGGTTTACTACTCCATCTGTATTATCTCCAGTTTGATATGGTAAATTATTTTACTCTCAATTTAAATTCACAGTAGCCTAGTTTGCAGTATAATCAATAGGATCATTATGCTTATTATCACTGGAAAAAATTCAATATGTTTCCGAAGGTGAAAAATCGATTTTAAAAAACAATTAAAACTGTCTGTTTACTTATCTTGTTCATTTTGATACTTATTTTGACCTAATTTATAGCTTTTATCTTCTAGTATATATTGATCAAACTAAGATACTCTAATATCAAGCGTTTTAAACCTATATACTTGATTATTTATTCTTATATTGAGTTGGCATGTGTTTCGAATCCTAATTTTTTCGGCCATTTAACAAGTATATTAAATGTAGAACATATGACTTTGTGAATTAAAATCAAATCAATAAACTTTTAAAAGATACTCATTTGATTTTGGAGTCACTTTTCTACTATTTGCTTGGATTCGCGATCATATTTCACATTAGTCTGTCGTTTAGCCTTTTCACGTGTGTACTAGTTGTGTTTTCTTGAGACGGGTAATTTGAGAATATAATCCTAAACAATGCTGACATCATTTCTGTTAGTGTATTCATTATTAGAAAATTTTAATACCACTTTCTGTTAACTCAGTCCTCTGATTGAATAAACATTAGTTAATTCAGTACATAAATCTTTTTTGTTTCATTTCTTCGAAAGATTCAGAGATCTAAAATGTTCTGCCAATATCGTTATTCGGAATAATTCACTAGGATGATTATTCACAAAGAGAAATGAGAACATTTCGATGACTTAAATATTTTTGATATACTCCATTGTTTTAAGTCCCTTGATGATTTCGGTCATACTGCCAAATCAGTTGTCCTCTTTCTAGTCTTTAGGCTAATTTCTCTTTACTTCAGAATCCTTGATTTATAGAGGAAGAGTGTCCATTGAACAAATCAATGACCATCTTTTCATATTTACATCCATCTTCATTTTAGATTAAATGTCTGTGACAGAATAAACAGAGTTTAGTATCTTTAGGTTCTTTCTTCAACAACTATCGTTTGTCACTGATCTTACTTGATAACTTTAGACACTTGTTATGTAATTATCAGGTCAATTTTACTCTTAAGTCACAGGTTATCATTTTAAGCACTTATATGTATTTATGTAAAACTGTCGATAACCAAATAACGTCTTGATAGGTTTATGCATATCTATTAAATATAGTGGTTTTTTGTGGAGATTATGATTTCGAACCATGGTCACCTAAAGAACCATTAAAACCCAAAGAGCTCTGGATAAGTGTTCCACTCTAGTTTAAGAGAAGTTGAGGATATCAACCATTAGACTCCAAAGCGTTGATAGACGACAAAGTGGTTCATAATGGTTCAATAAATGATTCCGCTTTATGATGAAAATTATCTTAAATCCGTATATATTATCCTATCTAGGTTATAAGCATTACAACAAAACATTAATTATTGAACTTGAAATATATCTATTTTCTTTATCTCTTACAATATGGTTTGTATCATTCCAGTTATGTCATTCATAATTAAATTTAGTTCTGAAAAACTAGTTTGTTAATTATTATTATTATCCGATTGACTGTATGCTTATTTAGTGTTCTCGCATTACATGTACATGATATTTATTTTCTTTCTTTTATATCCATTACATTCTATACTTTTATTCTATTTGTTTACAAATTTCAGAGAAAATCTATCAGTTCCACCGATTTAAATGACCTTATTTTTCATGTGATTATGGATTCTATGTTTCTCAATTCTTTACTCTGATTTTTTTTTTATTGTTGTAGGAATTGATTGAATAGCTAATGTAAAGGTTATATTAAATAGTCATGATTACTTACTGCTTTTACTCCTTAGTTCGCATAAAATGAACTTAAAATTAAAGAAAAATATATGTTATTAATGCAAGTGCTAGTTCTATATTCTCTTTAAAGTAGGTATCGTGAAAAGAAAATATCTGCTACTCTTTTATTTATTGTGGAATAAAAGTTAGGATCATCTTACTGAAGTGGTTTTAATTATTTGTATACAGTGTTAATTAAGTTTTGTTCATGTATAAGGAAAAGCTTAAAATTGGATAGTTAATAAATTAGTAACCATATATTACTACTTATCGAATTACCATCTTTCTAGATTAAACCAATAATCTCCAGTGGGACTATGCTTGAAAAGTTCTGGTTACAACCCAACAATGTGCTCAGTCTTACTATAGGACTTGCTATCACTGAAATTAGAATATATTACTGTTATGATAGATCACTTAACTGATAAAATGTCAGAATAACTTGGGTAACCAAACCGATAATTTGCTCGCATGATCAATCCCTAAATCCAAATTGGATCGAGTTTTGAAGTCAGAACTACTAGTTGACCATGTAAATATATTTTACGGAAACGTAGCTATAATTTGTGAACAAAATATTCGGTCATAATATTATGACAATCACTTGTTTGTCAGTTAAGGAATGGATAATCAAAAATAAAAATCGTTAAATAACCTGTGATTATTTAATTTCGTGTTTTGTGAATGTCAGTGTTTTGAATTAACGTCCTGACCGTCATGCTTACCGATTAAATGATGATAATGTTTTCTGGAAACTAATCTTAGAAGTATTTTTCCTCAATTATTCTCTCTCTTTGTCCCATCTTATTTCATCTGTTTTCTTGTGTATTTATTGGTAATCTCAATGTTAGTCGAATTCATGAATCGATCTAAGCTAGACCACCATTGGAAACCCGGAAGCACTGGACGGAGCGAGACCGAAGAACCTGGGTCCGAGTTCCCCATGCGGAATCGTGGATGCGCACTGCTGAGGATTCCTATACTAGGACAAAACGGCCGTCAAGTACTTCCAGGTTTTCATTGGTGGTCCAGCTTAGATAGACTCATGAATTCAAATATTAAAATTAATACAATCTCCACAAACCTCCATTCTGATAATCTCAATATTAAATAACTATTTAGTGAAAATTTGAATTTTCTAAAATTATTTTCAATGGTTTTTGTACTTTACTGTTATTGGAATTCAGGACGAAGTTAACAAGTCCTTGTTTGAATTTGTATTTTTTGCATCCGTTCATCTTCAGTGTTTCTCTCATATTCTTTTTGCTTCGTAACATTTCCTGCTTTTACTGATTGTTTGAAAAAGTATTTTAATAAAGTGTTAAAAGTATGAATTATTGCCTACAATTTCTAGTCGTACCATCTCGAGTATATTTTGTTATTACATGGCATCCCTTGTTATAAATTTTAATCACTTCATCAACATTTGTTAGTTGCATGATCATACATGTATGTATAAGTGTGTGGAATTATTTGTGGACTGTTTTCCGATGAATGAGGTGATTGTAAACAGGCCTGACGGTACTATACTCAAGTATTATCTGTTGATCAGTGTTAGAGGTAACAGTAACATGACGGTGTGCAGTATTTCATTTGTTGCATCCATTTTCCTGTCACCTAATCTAATCGTTCTATTTTTCATCTGGATTAAAATGTTTGTATACACGATCCCTTCTGCATTATCTTTAACACCTCACATTGATAGTTTAATACTTTCAAATGCCGTTCAACGGCGATGTTGAATATGAATTTGTCACAACTTACAAAGTACCAGCTGTACATATATTATGCGGGTGAAGATTAAATTTTTAGTGGAAGAAAGTTACATACATTTCATTAGTTTATTTGTCTCTTTTTGCTTTTGTTTGCTTGTTATGCGCGAATCACATGATGTTTATGTTACGTACAGCTGTTCCTTTTTTTGGCAAATAACTATTGAAGATTAGTTAGTACCATACATTTTAATCTAATCAGATAAATTTATACAATGAAGTCACTTTATTAATACGTTTTGATGACATTTCTCTTATCCTTTTTCTTTGTCTTTCAATGACAATATCGTAAGTCAGTAATAAAACAGTTTCATTTTTAAGTAAAATTTGTATTAGTCAAGTTTATATTTCTAATTAATAAGGTTTAAATACCATTTTTACTGATTGTTTATATGAGTAATTCACAAGTTGTCATGTGAAAGTGATTGACATTTCTAAAATAATTAATATAGATTTGTATTCATTTAAATCATATTTATTATACATCTTTTTTTAAAGTGAGTCACTAGTTTTACAGTTTAACAACAAATCCTACTTTTTCACGTTAAAATACCATTTAGAAAATGTTAAAATATTATTTAGAATGATGAATACGAGTATCTTTGTGATGTTAAATTCTATGCGTTGTGTTCTTCAATGAATTATTTTAGGTTATTTGGTTCTAAATACTTAGGTTTAGGCATCTCACACATCCCATGATATTATTACTTTTCTTTCCATCAAATATTTGGTTCAAAACCGCCAATCAGGCTACACTTAGTTACATGAAGAATAAACATCATTTGAGTTCTTATAAATCGGCTTGCATCTGTACAACATGATGATACGGTGTAATAATCATTTATAGATGGTAAAACTAGATAAATTACACCCCACGGCATTAAGTCATACATAATAATCCTAACACAGACTATTGAGATAAAGTAATTTATTGTAAAAAAAGCTGAACCTGAATAGTCTTTTAATAAGATTAATGTTAGGTTATTTGGGATTCAGTATTATTTTTTAAATGAGTGAAGCAAACAAAATTTGTAGCAAAGAATAATAAAGTAGAAATCTTTAAATTAAACATTTTTTCAACCAATATCATGCATTATTATTACAGAAAGAAATAGATCTACCTTCATTGTATAATAAAATCGTGATGTAAACTAACCAGATTATCAATTCATTTAATGTAACACATTTGTAAAGTAATTTTCCTCTAACTTTTTTCAATTTAAAAAGTCAGCCTTTACAATTTTACCTTGATAACAATTTTATTGATGAGATAAAGCATTTCTTGATCATGCGTTGTTTACAGTTTGTTGATATGGTTTTGTATTCTGGTTACTAATTTTTTCACCTGACTTTCTACACTCCTTTTCTTTCCCTTTTGTTGTTAAAGTCGAATGATTATGGTAAAAATTAATCAGTTTAATGAAGCACATGCATTATTTACTGATTGGATTAATAAGCTCTCATTAGCTCCATTTGTAACTAACACATTTGGTCCGACAGTTGTTCAACCTTCTGATGAAAATAGTCCTACAAATCAACAGATTCTACTATCAAAATCAAGTTATTCTATACAGGATGCTAATTTACTACAAGATTTACAATGTGATGGTGAATTGTTATTCTGTCAACTTCAATCATGTGCCTTGGTAAGTAATCTTTTCACATTTAATTCAATACTGGATCTGTTTTATACAATAAACTTCATATTATGGGGTTGTTTATTTTCAGTGAGAAGTTGTTTTTGTCACGTTTACATTTCTTTATATTGTAACCGATTAACTAATTCTATATAAGTCTCAAAGCTGAAAAATCTAAGCTCAAGTCTTAGTATGAAAATACTAAGATGGATTTCACATATATTTAAATGTTAACTCTTATGATAGTTAAGATGAAATGTAGCTTGAATTACATTGCGAACTTTTTACTAGATACCCTCATGAAATATTTAAATTTCACTTTCATTAACTTATTGATTAAACAGAAAGACAACTGAAGTTTCTAACAGAAATAAAGATGAACAAACATACAAATGAGTTTAGTTATCATCAATCAGATTAGTCATTATATAATTACTATCGATTAGTAAGAATAAATGATATAAATATAATCAAAAAATTAGAAATAATTTAATAATTGTTTTTACCGAATAATTAATTATCAGTCTGTTTATTGCCCTCAAATTTCATTGATTAGTTAATATAACATGTAAACGCTTCGTGAAGCTTTATCTTTCGCTCAGTAGATTGTTGGACATTTACTTATGCTGTACGAATTTGTCTTAGTTCAGTTTTAATGGAGACATAAAATCTCAGTACTATTGTATTTAGTTAAAACTGTTTGTTCTTAATATTATGCAAACGCAACGTTAACAATATATTTATATAGAATAAATGAAGTGTGAATAGCAGTGGTACCCAGAAAGCACATTTTTTTCCTATTCTTTATTAATTTATGTCATAATGGCTACATAAGACAATCCGCATAGGATGGACCTATGCCAACCAGGGCTGATCGAATTTCAATCAAAATAACTACGGGATAATCCAAACCATTTCGACTTGAATATGGTTATAGTTCATCATATCGTTATAGTTCTGGCAAACTGTCATGTGTTTCACTTACTAACATTTCAAATATACAAAACCAAATAGTTTGTTATTTATGAACAAATTGTCGGTATCATTTTTAAGTTGCTTGACGTTATCTATGTGTGCGTGTGAGAAGTTGAGCAAAATATTACGTGGGAAAGTTGTAGTCGCAAATATTTTGAATTCGATCCAATCTCTGTAATGTTTACTACTTAAATATAAACTTACTGTAACAATTAACACATAAAAATCATATTGTAGTTTATATAATTTTTTTAAGGGACTTCTAAGAAACTCGCATTAAGGTTCAATTTGCAAGGTTGTGAGATGACACTATGGGCTAAATTCACACGGTACCGTTAACTGGTCTGTCGGATCTTTGTCCCTCTGAGGGTACGGGTTACTTTAGTACACTGTCGGCTTGTGAGTAAAGGTTCTCATCTGTCTTTAGGACTTCCATTTCTCTCTACTCGGTAAATGTTCTATGAAAAAGTAATATGTCATTTCAAGAATGGACTGCGATTGCTTAACCGCACTAGAGTAGTTCAAGAAAATGAGTTGGCTCCTTACATGCTGTTCATTATACTGGACTATTCGTAGGTTTGAATAAGTTGTAGCTGTTAAGGGAATTTACCGGTGTATTTATTCTTCCCAGACTAATTAACGGTAACAAATATTTGGTGTTTAAAGTGCATATAAGAAGTTCAATAAATTGTATCCTAACCTATAATCCTGTTGTTTGTAATATTAGATGCAATGAGTAAAAAAGCGTATACTGTATTTTTATTTAATAGAAAACCTGTGTAACCTAATAGTTGTAATTGTACACGCAAATATACTATTACCTCCTTGTCGATTTATTGGCTAAAGAACTCACTTTTCAACCAAGAGGCCAGATTTTCAAACTGCAGTTTACCTACTTGAGCTTGAGCAGCCAGGTTACATCATTAGTCCTCAAAAAGAATGTCAACCGAAATTGACTACGTAAATCTGTAATTCGTAAATGTTATTATCGGTTGAATAGTACTAATAGTCTATAAATACATTTTTATTAATTTGCAGTATTACAATTTCTAATAACTCGTTAATTTAGAATTAGTTCAGATTAGAAATAAAATATGACTAAAAAAATTAATCGGTTAAGATAATAATTCTTGTATTTTCATGACTTTTAGTATTTATGAAAAGATTGTGTTGACGAGGTTTTAGTTCTTACTAAATGTTTTTTCTCTGTAGAAATTAAATTATATCGAATTTACTCCGTATAGTTCACCAGAAAATTTATTTATGTAATAGAAATTAATTTTAGCGAAATTCCACTGCATATCACTAACTTCTGTTCCTTTTTTCCTCTCAATTACCTTTTTAACTTTATGAAATTCTCAATGGGATCGATTCATTATGTATAATGAAAATAGCTTTCATTCATTATCTCACTGACACACAAAATGTTTTAATTTTATCAATCTTATTTTTGTGAAAATCTTATTTATAATTTCTGATAGTTATCAAAACAGAGAACAGAATAATTCAAACTAACTATTACTGAAAAAAAGGTCATAGTTAATTCATGCTTTAGCTTGTCCTGTCATCATATATATATATATATATATATATATATATATATATCGCCTAATTAAAAACCAGAAATACTCTATAATTATTTCGTTGTAGTGTTAAAGATTTTTATTTAGTTCACTTCCAACAATCCACTTGAGATTGAATGCTCGAATTTCCTGATGATCTTGTAACTGTGTGCACTCGCAGTTGGAAGTTAATAATTCACATTTTCAAACTTCAGTCCATTTTTGCAGTAAGATATTTATTGTTACACATAACCTGTTTAATAGTAGAACGATCATACACATATCCAGTGTGCGACAGTGGGCTTGTAGGTTTCTAAAATATGTCACATGAGAACAATAGCCATCGAGTGCTCCCTCGTCTTTATTAGTCCAAGGATATTGTCATTTTGTAATGTAAACTATCTTCCTTGCAAACTATTTAAGCTTATGTATGTATACTGATGGTGCTGCGTCAGGTTTTGTTCTTAATGTTGAAAATACTCAAAATGATCACTACATATCCGTATCCTTTTAAAAAATTCAACTGTAAATCGTTTTGTTTTCATTTTACAACTTATTTAGTCCATTATACGATTGGTAGCTTCCGATAATTTTTTAAGGATTTCGCAAAGCTAAATCCTTTCAAAATAAAAATCCAAAGTATGGTCTTGTATTAAACATTTATGTATGAGGCACAATTTTGTATCATTCAGCTCATTATCTGCATAAATCGAAGGATATAAGGAAGTAAATATATTATTCAAATAGAAAATATCATAATAGCTATGATTTGAGAGAGATCCTAGTGATTCGAATCCCTGACTTCAAATCATTACGTTACAAGTTCGAACTTTGCGCTAACTATTATACTTTCCAGAGCAGTATGTTATCCATCGCCTTCGCGCAATTTATATATATATATATATATATATATATATATATATATATATATATATATAACGTAGTAAGCACAATCCTCTCTATCAGTACCTAATGTTACTACTGTTGTTTTCTGTGTATTGTGCCTATTTTTCTCTCCAGGCTGTGTTTGAATTACTCAAAAATGTTGGCTATACCACGTTTGTTGAACCGTCATGTATGGAAGCTTCACTCTATAAAAGTTGGTTAGTGTGTATATGTTTCACGCAGCTGTTGCTTATTCATTTTGTACTTCAACAGATAATTTTACATAAATGCGAATTTTGAAAAACCAGTTTCAGAGTAATTAGCTTCCATAAATATATAGATTGTTGCGGATACTCTGTTTTACTACTATCATCATTTAAGCTTGTGCTGTCACTAGATGAGCATATAAAATGGACATGAAAAAACCACTCAACTTTCTCATATGATGTGTTCCATAGAGTTTTTTCGTCTCATTTTCCCTCATATACATCTCTACTGAAAATATTTGGATTCAATATCTCGATGTTTTCATTATGTGTTGCTTCAAACGGTTCTGGAATAAATAAGTGCTTTTTATGACGTTGAACAATATTAGAATATACTTCATCTAAATGCCAAATTGTTGAATTTACAATTAGAATATATAGAGGCTGGAGAATTGGTTAATTTAAATGATTCTTAGACTGATAGCTGTTATGCGATAAAAAAAATGCATCAAATGTTATCTATTCCGGTCTGAGATACTGTTCTCTATATCTTTCAGGTTTCGGTCAATTGCCTCCTTAAATTTTGCTTTATTTGAAGAGTTCATATATATATATATATATATATATATATATATATATATATATATATATATATATATATATATATATATGCCTAATTAGACATCTGCTTTTGTATTATTAAGTAACATATGCATTACTCGATATTTCTCAACTTGAGATGTAAGCACAAGGTCAATGAACAAATTAATAAGTCTACACTGAAGAAAAGCGATTCTCCATACTTATTTCACTTTCTTTACATAAAAATATTCAATTTATGCTTAGCTGTTATTAGTGTTAGATACTTTGTCAGATATTTTTCTTGGTCTATGAAATTCGTATTCAGTTTGGAATTGAATGGATTTTTATGAAAGTACAATGATGTACACGGTTTCATATTATCTGCTTTAAAACCGGCGATAGAAATAAGATATGATCTACTATTGGTTGTCAGCAAAAGTCACGTCTTAGATTTTTTTACAAACTCATGTATGATAGATATCTTATTCTAAAGGCCTATAGTACTACAGGAGATGGGAGTAACTAAATACAGATCAGTAATTACTTTAAGATGACTAGGAATTCGAACATATTTATTGTGTTTGTAGATGTTCTTTTTGATGGAGTTTTGTTCTCTGAGTTAGATGGATTAGTCGTGGAGCTTCCATCGTTATTCTGGACGACATCATCAACGCAAACTTCAGGTAGAAGTGAAGTGTTCGAATTTCTCCACATATGGCTCACAACCCGACGGGCTGGAGAATAGCTGAGCAAATTGGAATAAAAGTGGTACACCTAATGATAACTGATGCATATTACAGGATCCAGAATACCAACACGTCATAGGTAATGTCATCTATGGCGATGAAAGCTCCAAGACCAATCCATCCAACTCAAAGAACAAAACTCCATCAAAATTATTATTAGGAATAAAATTAAATTGAAAGTAACTTTCCAATAGTTGAAACACAGTATGGCGTTATTTATTCATATCATTAATGGTTAGTCTGCTTTGTATATATGTCTTTAGGCTTGATATTCATAGTCAAATGTACATGGGACACAGTATAATGCTTCTTATATATTATTCTTCAGAAAATCTTTGACCTTGATTAATAATTCCTTTAACAGCGTTATCAAACTTTTGTTAGGTACTGTTGCTGCGATAATTATAAATATTCTTATTGATTAATTAATTAGTTGTTCTAATCAAACCACCCCCATCCTGATATGTCACCACATTTTCATGTAATTTCGGTTGTTCCAAGTTAATTTTTTCTACTTTTAAATAACTATTTCGATATACATAAATCGATTGTTTTCTGCTTATTTGTTATTATTTTTCACTAATCATTTGTAGTAATAATAATAATAATAATAATGTTAATAATAATAATAATTGTAATTGTTAATACTTTCACAAAATAATTGACGTTCAATAAAACGCTTATTTTACTGATTCACTATTGTTTAGTAAGTAATCAATCGTTATATTTCTGAAATTGTGTTTTGTGTTTTCAAACTGACTATTCTTGTTTTGTACTTCGGTTATTCTTTTTCTCTTTGACACATCGACAACTGTTGTCAGTAAATTATGGTTAAGTATACCCGTCGGGTCTATTAAGTTGATCAGTACTGAATAAAACTTTTTTTTCATAAAATTTAGAAAATGTTCAAACTAAAAACTTATGCCATCGTAATATAAATAGGTAACATTTGAGTAAACGGTTGATCAGATGATGAAATCTTATTACTCATTAACAACTAGCTTCATACTTACTCTTACCTCTCTCTTCGACAACAGTGATCGACTTCCGACGTTCTTCTGTTTAAATTACTCGTTTCCAATCAAAGTTGACCTTACATGAGGCAGTTGGTAGCCATTTCGATTGACACAACTGTCTAAACAGTTACATCATATGGCTATTAGCCATCTTTGTTGAGGATCGGCTCAAAAATTTGCTTTATTCCTGAACCATTTGTGTGTACTTCGTTCATGGATTGTTACTTGCTTGAATATGTCTATAAGTAAATGAGTATTCTAGTTTTAGAATGAAAATATCATTATTATCTTCAAGGGAAAGATGGTTCAAAAAGTCTGTGCAATTAGAGATTGTAGTAATTGACTATATATGGTACTATGCTTACATCCTGAATTGTGGTAGGCTAGTTACCGACAAAAACTCTTTATTACATCTAAATGCCTGTTTAATGTCTACCAAGTTGTTTCATTTATAATTCCGAGTGCCCGATATGTGGTGATATTACTAGTTAGCAGTCCACTATACAGTAACGGCACAACCACTGAGGTTAGCTTTTTATAAATCGAGAATTTCTGTGCATGACAGCAAAATCACAGTGAAGATTTCTGAATGTTTGGACAAGGTCTTGGTTAAACAAGGTGTTTCATTTAATTAACTTTATAGCTATTCTTATGGTTTCTTGGTCACTGCCTATAGAGATTCATGTGCAAATTACTGAATGATGGCAAGGCATTTCAATTAATAATAACAATACACATTATCATGTTAATTCAGTTGATACTAAACAGTTAACAAGTACTCAATGAAAGATTAAGAAATTGTTTTTGTGTACTAATAAATCGCTTTATATCGTTATTAATTACTCAGATTGTTGCATTTTCATTTGGTATAGCTATGCACAAAATGAATCAACCCCTACTCATTTAAACAAAAATGGTCATGAGATTAAAAATAATGGTACCGAAATTCTTGGCCATTCTCATTCGAATAACAATACATCAATAAAAAGTTCAAGTGTGTTCACTGATGAAGATCGTGAACTTTTAGCTAAACTATGGCGTTATTTAGATCCTAATAGTAGTGTACTAGGTACTAATTCACCACCACCAAAACCTCCACTACCTAACTTATGTCCCCTCAACATTCCATTCTCTGATCGTCGTACGGATTTAGTCAGCCCTAGTAATCAATCTTCTCAACTTAATATGAACCCATTTGATGATCCAAACTTGGTAACATATTTATGTACAATCGCTTCTACTGCTCAACAAAAGTACCCTTCAAATTCAAGTCCAAATAAGAAAAGTTCAGATTGTCAAAAAGAATTTATATTACCAACCACCAGGTATGTTTTAATGTTGATTTTAACTAAAAACAAGCTCAATTTTACTGTCGTTTGTCTTCAGTTTTTTGTCTCAAATCATTTACCATACTATGCTTAATTATTTTTTTTCCTTTTAATATAACTTAAAATCAGATTGGATTTAAATGCAGCTGACCACTTGTGTTTCCCATTGGTCGATGAGTCGGATACTAGTGATCTAGAGTCGAATTTCAATTATCTTAATAATTTGATTAAATTAGATGATTCTTGTACAATACAAACACCTAGTTATAAACCTAACAGTGCATCATTTTCAATTAAAGATGCCCCACGTTCTGTTATCGAACAACCTAAACTGCCTACTAGACAAAAGGAAAAAGTTGATCGCTTTGATGAAACACCGTTATATTCAACAACTTGTAACGGGAATTTTTCACATGTTCATTCCAGTCGAGTAAGCTCTTTTGTATATCAGTATTTTGTTTTTTTTCTGTAATGATAGCTTATTTTGATTTGGTATATTCATGCTACTTTATGCAGTAATATTTTCACTAGTTATGTTCAAAATATTCGTTTCAAAGTACAAACTATGAATATTCTCTATAGATTGTCATATTTTATGTAAGTTAAAAAAGAATATCTAATGAATAATGGACTTTATCAGTGGAAACCGTTCAGAGGTTAACTTAAATACCACCAACCTACTTGCCAACAATGTGCACCTTTTCATAACTAACTAGACTTAACTTGCAGTGTCTCTATATATGTACTGAATGTATTCTCCCTAACGGATTTCAGTGTGTTATGATCCTACCCGCTCACATCAAGTAATCCTCTATCTTGTGTAGAAAGCAAGATTCGGTCAGTTGAATACACACTGATATCTTTGTTTTCTGTTTCCATCCTTAAAATTTTACTGATTTGTATTACATTATTTGGAGAAAGTGATGGTTTAATTATTAGATAAAAATTCTTAAACAAATGTATTCTCATATTCTTGTATAAAAAGTTCCTGTTGTTCGAATGCTAGATGACGATAGAAAACTTTTATTCGATCATTCACTGTGTAGTGACGAATTCTTATTTGTCTAGTCCTTTAGTGGTGATCAAATTCTAGCGATCAAGTTTCAGTGTGGCCACTAATCTCAGTGACTGAACACCGCACACATTATGTTTTTTTGGTGTTACGTTGTTAAAGGTAGCCTCATAAATAATGATTCAAACCTAATGAATGAACATTAAACAATACATAATTTCTTTTATGCAACCATTGCCTTATTTTTGTGAAATTGTTGATTCAAATCGTGACAAATGTTGTGTAAACATCGGGATGATTCACAACTAATATTTCTCACATAGATTGTATGGCTTATGTACTGCTCAGGTTCTCAATAATAGTGTGAATAACTTTTAAATGATTATTATATTTCACCTTTGTAATTCTGCTAACATATTATGTGGAATTATATTAACTAAACACAAATTAACATCTCTATCTAACCTATTATCCTCCTGAGCAGTAGTTAATCTATTTCAGAGATTCTTAATTTATTGCATTGCTTCACTAGAAATTATCAAACGCTAAATAATTTTTTGTCAATTGTTGTGTTTGTTTATGGTTTTAATATATTCAATAAAAGTGCTTATACAAAAGCCTGAATCCACCGAATGTTGCCAACACCTATGAGTAGTGAAATGATTTATTTCATCTAACTTTGAATGGATTTTTACAAAGTCTGTGTTTAGTCAAATTAAAAAATGTATGATCAGGATCGCTCTTTATACCTTAGTACTTTAAAACTATACAACTAAACCTGAGGAATATCATTTGATAAACAGATAATTTTTACAAACGACAACAAAAACCTTCATTATAGCCTTAGTTCAACCAAGTTTTATTTACATTATTTCAATCGTTTAAAAATTCACATTATATTTCTATCAGTATTTTTTGTTATCGATTCAACTATATACATACGACTCATTGTAACTTATCTCAGTTAAATATCTTGGCGTCATTTTTTAAGCATAAAATTTACTAGCTTATTTATTGATTATCTGGTCTCGATGTAAAGTTGTTCGCCTCAATGTGTTGTAATGTATTGGCAGTTAACGTTTGCTGTAAATTACCAGATAAAGTTACTTCAAAACTCTGACTAAATTATTAAAACAGATTTCAGTATTGGACAATAATATATAAATGCATCATTTATTTCCTTTTTTTACGTCGTTTTCTCCGTAACTTATAAATCATAGAGAATCGACAGTGATATAAAATATCTTGTATATACATTTAGTTTCATGGACTAATATATCAGCATCAAACAATATAGTTACGCGAATTTAGATAACATGCCAAGATTTCTGCATTAAAGTTTGAGCAATTATAAAGCCTCATCGACGAAACAGGATACAATGGTTCTAAATTAGTCATGTGTTGATTGAATATACATTGAGAGACTAGTTTATTAATTGACGTCCCCACTTTACTCATGTTTATATACTTTAGTTCAGACTTCAAATTAACCCTCACCTGCCAATAGATTCTTCAGGATTGAATTTCAATATTTTTCTATTTTCTGAGTACAAATTGACTTGTCAGTACTCTCTTTAATGTTAGGTAGTAAAAATTCTAAAGTAAAAGTCTCATTGGATTACCGATTCGTATGTCTCTTTGTATATTTGAATATTTTTTATAAATAGTTAAAAACTTTCGTGAAAGAACTTTAAATTTACTGTTATATTCATATATTGTAATATTTAGAAATTACCATTTCAATTGAAAGACTGTAAATACTGGTCAAAGTCAATGTCATCTGCAGATTCGAATAATCCACTTAGTGATACTTTCATGCAGGAGCAAGTAGCAAAAATGGTGATGCATTTACAAGACAATGATTCGTGTACTTCACATCAGGTAATTTATAGTTTGATTTCCCTATTTTGGTTTTTATGCAATTTGTTGCTATTTTAAATACCTATATGTTTACATATCTTACCGTCATTACTTTGACAAGGTAAAAAATGATGTAGAAAACAGTTGACATCATCTTATAAATGACTAAACTATGTAAATCACTGGGGAGCTATTTCAAAATATCTTCTTTATAATCACATAATGAGCCTTAGGATCTTTAGTTTTAAAGACCATGATATGTCATACATGAACTGAAATCCAATGATTTATAATTTCTGACTCATGAATTCAACTGTTAAATTCATTATTATTATTATTCTGTTTTATTAAGTAGACAAGTGTCTTTACCTTTTATTCCATCGATCATTATCTCTTATTACTTCCTAAACTATTACATAGTGTAAGCTCTTGATGATTGTTGATTACTTTGTTAAATGATCCAACCTTTTTTTCTATTTAATACTTGAAAACTTTAATTACATTGAAATGACACCCTTTCATTTACAAATTACTGTACTCAATACTTGAAAAAAAGTTTTGATAATCTTGGCTATATTACACGACACCACTTCATTAAGTTTAGCTATCTTTGATAATTTTGTAAAACCCCTCTATTTTACTATGGACTAGTACGTGTAAAAAATAATCGATAAATATAAATGCAAAATTTCATAAAATGATATCGTTGAGATGAAAATGTTTGTTGAGGTATTTTATTTCTTTTCAATGAATAAAACATTTGTTTATGATATTCTCTTAATTGATTTCAACCGTTATAATGTATATAGATCGTTAGTTTATTTTCAGTTATTTAAAAAAGACTTTATTATCGGTTGTAAAAGCTAAATAACTTTGATGATAATTTCGACTTACAAGCTCTACTCTAGGGTATATACATATCCTGTATCATTCCATTCTATGTCAGTTACATATAAAATGATGTACTATTGTATAAATTAGTAAAAGCGGATTTTAGATTTGTGTGTTTACAAAATTGAACTGTTGTGGTAATTATCTGGGTTTTCGAACTTAATTACCTATAGATAATCTATTTATAAACTTCAAAGAAGGGAAGTGATATCAATACAAGATGTATTTTGACATCGGTTTACTTATACCGGACAAGTCCTTTCCTTCACTGTGCATTAGCGTCTTCTTGGTTAACATATTTGAACAATTATTGTAGTTAGATAGCTTTAGTGAATCGAAAGATCATATACAACCTACTTATGGATATTTCCACATTCTTCTAACAATATTGATTCGGTTGAGGTCATTTTATAAATATGTAAACGTGTTTTTTCTTGAAAATTATATCTACACTTATTAACAAATCAGTTTTTGTAAATTTTTCCTTATGAGGTGTGTCGTTTATGTTTGAGTTAATTATAGAAAACAAGGAAATTAGGTAGTAAAAAATTAATAACGTTTTAGTTTTGCCTTTATACTAAATGTTGTAGTGTTTGATTTATGCTTATGATAAAAAAATGAAATTACATAAATTATGTGCCTGCTGTGATATTTTACGGTGCTTTTTTATTGTCTAAATTAGTTGTACTCTTTTGTTGTTTGCTCATTCATATCTTTGTTTTGCTGTCGTAAAGTATTTCATTTAATTTATTCCATAAATTTATTTATTCTTTTCAAAGCATATTTCTTATGTTTAGTCACTCCTTTGCTAATTTATCTTGTTAATTTCACCTTACTGTACTGATATGGTAGAATAACTTGTATCGATATATATTTGTACCATATCCTCTGATGATTATAATTGATTGGTGTAACCTTTTTCGTGGTACTCAATGTAATTACTTTAAGTAAACACATTATCATCTCGTAAGTTTATTTGTGACTAGTAATTTGATCAACTGTTAGCTAAAAAACGCGTTATTTACAATAACATTTATTTAAAGCATATTTTAGTGGTCATTCTTTTCTATTATGTTCATGTTATGAATATGATTCTCAGTAATAGATTTTGTTCAGTGCTTTCATAGTTTTATAACTATACTACTGATAAATCTAATTAATTTTAATATGTGATCGCTTTTTCTTTAATAATTCAATGTAAAATCTAGGTTAATAATTGCATCTTCACAACTCGGAAATATTTTTCAAGTGATATTCGTTTGTTATTTTCTTTTAATACAATTTATAATCGATTGGGAGGATCGATAATATCTGATCTTAGAACGTATATATAAAGCATATTATTGATTAATATTAATAATTGACCAAATATGATTTATATATTCAACTTTAAGCCATACTATTTTTATGAGAGCTTGTTCATACGAACTGGCTAGAATAGGTTAACCTACTCCGTTTCTAGCGATTTCGAATTAATGTTCATAGAAACCTAATGGATGTTATTGATTTGGTATTTGCATGTAATTCATGCTATGATTGTTGTCATTATCATCACAATATAACATTCTCAACTGGAAGTATTTTTTTGTGTTCAAAGAAAATAAGCATAAATAAAAGAATTTTATGTTTGTTTGGTTAAAATAATTCATTATCATTGAAATAACGATCTGGATTAGCTCCACTGGTCACGGCTTCTCACTAGAATACCAGAAACTTCCTCTCAAAGTTAGTCACCTGTGTCCACATGACAGTTGTTAGTATGGGGTTTTGGAGATTGTTGAACTTCATTAGAATCCGTGTCAGGTGTGAGGTAGTTACTCGCCGAACACAATGGAAGATGGTCACTCAATGTTGTGGCGTGATTGAGGTTAGATATTAACACTGTTGAATACGGGCTTAGTGGTTTAGAGGTTAAGCATTCGTGCGCAAGACGATAGGTTTCAGGCTCGATTCCCAGTTGTGTGGTCGTGGATGTGCACTACTGAGAAGTCTAGGAACAGAACGAAACGGCCATCTAATGCTTTCAGGTTTTCAATCATGATCTAGCTTAGATAGGTTCATGACTTCAATGGAATTCGACAAACTTCACAACCCCATACTGAAAATAATTCATTATCACTTTTATACCATAAAATGAATCTAATAAAACTATCAAGTGCGTGATATTCTTTTGCATAGTTTAAGTCACACCAGTTCTCAAGGAAAGAATAAATATAAAATATGGTTAACTGATCAATAACTTTGATATTTTACCATTCATCAAGACTTTATCAAGCATAAATGCATTGTTTTAAAATCCCCATCATATTAAAACACTAATAAATCGACAAAGAATATTCTTTCATATAAATTTTCTTCAGGCCCTACAATTCTATATCCAAATTAACAATTCAAAAATAAATGCAATGAAGCGCTACTACTAATCCAACTCAATTTTAGTCAACAAAAAGAAGTATGCCAAGCATACTATAAAATAGTCTGATAGAAATCACTTATATTAATTTCAAATCCTTGTCTAGAAACCTCACAACGTAGTGTATAGACTAGATTGTAATTTTTTAACACCAGGACTATATTGAATTTCAAAATCGGTTTTACAGCTATGAAACAACATAAGATACACAAATTATCTCAATACTATCAAACTATAGATTTATATTTAGTATAAATATGATTACACCCTCCTCATCTGTGTAGTAGCCTAGTCTTATTTTTCCTAAGGCAATAAATATTACACAATGTGATGTAGCTCATCGAGTGCAGATCCATGTACTCGACTTTTGGTCACAATTTGTGTATGACGTTTAGTGCTATTATTCAGCTGCCCAAAATGAAGTAATGAGGGGGGTTTTGAACGTGCGATTTAGTTTTTGAAATTCGTGCTTTTTAATTACCAAGTCTAGAAAGAGCATTGTACAAACCAATAGGCAATTTTTTTGCTAGTAATCAGTTATTACACATTTCATAACATAAAATTTTCATTAATTTGGTTTTACCACAGTTATAAAATTGTATTTCATATCTCTGTAGCGTTTGTGAATTTATATATGTGTGTATGTACTGCATATGACCAAATTTTAAAGAATTTGTCTAGAAAGTCAAACTAAATTTTATACATAACGTATTTGTTCTGCATAAAACATGCTTAAAAATTGGTGTTGCATTTTCAAAAAGAAAGAATAACTTTTGATATTTATGTAATTAAGAATTAAGCTATTATATTGCTATCGTTATGTACGGTGGTATTTATACCTTGTGTTAGTAATAATTGTAAACAAGTGTTTGCTTTTCTTACTGTATACCAACTCCTCATTTAACAAGTTCAGATCATGATTTCAATTGGCAATGTTCGTTTGTTGTTCTTTTAACCATTTATTTTTTTCTCAAGAATTCATTTGCATGTTTTCAACATATCTTTGTGTATAATTTATTACGTTCAAATGTATTTGTTTACATAGTAAGATACTTATTTTTCTTTGTTTTAGATATAAACGATGCCTTATTATAATACAATAGGTCATGCGTGTAGTCGAAATGTTCTACCATTATATATATATATATATATATATATATATATATATATATATATATATATATATATATATAGTTAACTTTACAGTTTTTCATTTTCTGTTTTTTTGTAGTTTTTCTTATTATCTTTTTTCTCTGTTTTTTGTAACCTTATATCAATCCAACTTGTTTTACTAATGTAACCATTTCTTTTTTCATCTGTTGATGATGTCATTCTTCATTACTGTTGCTAGCTAGTTGCTGAATAATGATTCATCATAAAATCAAAGTGAAAATTCATCGTTCTTTACCCACCGGTATATATATTATATATCTTACTTTGATTGCTTTTTGGGATTTTTTATAATACAAATCAAAGATAAGCCATGTATGTTTTATGTGTTCTTTTTTTGAAGGTAAAAGACCCCCTTTCATATGATTCTGTTTATTTTACCCTTTAAGTTCATTTCCTACATTAAATGTTACATATTGAACTTGAAACAAGTATTTCTAAAAAAAATCAGGTCACTGTTTAAATAAAATAGTTTAACTAGATAAGATAAAAACACTATAACCTGTTACGATATATGTTCAAACCTCGAACCATCTACTGTGGCTTTGATTGTTTGATAATATCACTGTCCTTCAGATAAAAATTATGATTTAGTTTCTCTTAAGGCAACTTGTACTTATCAATTTAACACGATATTTATAAATCTAGTGATTATCAATTCTTTGCATTCTATGCAGATGTTTTGAACTTACTATATAGTCAGATTGCACAGTTTCTTATCAAACGACCACCTAATTTATTTTACATACATTAATATTATACTGTTTTTAGAAGTACTGTTATAAAAGTATACACATTAGAATATTCAGTTTGCTGTGGTGTTCGCTTTATTTTTTTAATGATTGTTTTTTTACAAAAACAATTAGAAACAAACTTGATGCCTTATTATTTTGCTTGTGTTTTGTGAGATACGTTTTTATCTATTCTCTCGTAAATTTTGATAGCTTACTTACCACTTATTGAGTTGTATTACTTATTTTGTTTATGACATAATCACTTTATTTTTAAAATTTAGAAAATAAGTTTGTTGCTCATTAGGTAAGACTCATTTAATCCTTTTTTGGCTGATGGATTAATTCGTAAATGTATACTGATATCGATGATAAGTTCACATTCATGTTCCAGTTTTTATTTGCACATATGTTAATCTTACTGTGTTCCACCTCATATATGTTGTTTTCAATATTCGGTTATTTTGACCACGCGACTTATATTTCATTGTGTAGGGGGTTATTGTCACACTGTTGTGTGCCATTCTCCCGAACTCTCGAGATCGCATTGGATCCCGTTTGAATCTTAATTCTTCGTAGTTAAGAATTACCGTCGGCTAGGCGGATCACAAAATATCACACTAAGTTGTCAAAAGTTTCTGTACACAGCAGCGAACAGACATTTCTAAGACGTTTTTTCCAATTATGATATAGTTTGTTAGTAACCTGTCCCACTAACAGAATATAAACTCTATTCCGCAAATCATTGTCCTTGTAGTTTTTCAGCAAACCTTGGTACATCAAAACCCTGTTATTTTCCGTCTATTTCTTTACTTTCAGTAAAATAACTGATTATTGTATGTAAGTAGTTAGCTACTAGACGTCCACAATAGACGTCATTACTCTCCTAAAGAATAGTTTCCGTTTTTGGTCATGAAAAAAAAAACAAATTTTCAATCTTAACCAAATGTTTAAATAATATCAGAAGTGCCATCGAAATCATGGACCGATTAATATTAGACCACCATTGGAGACCCAGATGCACTGGATATCTGTTTTGATATAGCATGGAACTACTCAGCAGAGCATCCACTACCTCACACCCTAGAGTCGAATCCAGGACATTCGGTTTTGAGCAGATGCTTAACCTTTAGACCAACGAGCTAGCATCCGACAGTGTTAATTTCTACCATCAGCCAATTTACGATGTTGCACAACTATCTTCTATTGTTTTCAGCGAGTAATTGCCTCACACTTGATACGGTTGAACTCCACTAGTCATGGTTTCTCAATAAAAATCCAAGAATTACCTCTCAAAACTAATCACTAATTAGTACATGATAATTTCTGATATGTACTTGCGAAAACTATTGAATTTCTTTTCATGGGAGTCCTACACTAGAACAAAACAGCCGTCTATTTTTTCCAGGTTTCTAATGATGGTCTAAAATTGATCGGTTCATGATTTTGATGAAATTCTACAATCTTCACAACCTCATACAGTAAATAATGTAAGAAAATTTCGTGTTTATCAATTCTTGATTGACGTTATTTGTTAACTTTTAGTATTGTTAAAATTTCTCCCTTTACATCTTACTTGGTCATTAATAATAATGAATGAGGATCAACTGTTGATATAAAATAATCACTATGATTATTATCATTATTATTTGCTTAATCCATCAAAATAAATGAAATTCTTAAAGCTTATTATTTCCTATACCATATAAGCAACAATAATTATTTTCTAAATATGATACTTTGGTCGTCTAAGAATAATCTATTAATCTTCCTATGGTTTATATTTCAAGTTATTAGATATTTTTTTACTAATTTTTATGGTAGATTTATTGATAAGATTAGTAGGATTAAACATCATATTAAAAGTAAATAAACAAACATAATAAGAGATTTTTATTTTAGTTTGACATGCTACTCATATTTGTGTTGTTTTGTTGATTCTCATATATTTTTGTTTGTTTGTTTGTTAATATTATCAATGTCCAGTTGATAAAAAGAGAGTTACTTTGAAAATATTTATTTTTGATTGTTCTCTTTTAATTTATAACCTTTCATTAATTGAACTCTTGGTGAGTAACAATATTCGAATGATCATTAACTATAGCATAGATATGAAATCAGACCAACAGTCTGAAGTCCGTAAAGATCGATCATATACAGACCAAATCGCAACATTACGGATCATTGTGGAACAGTCAATTAAATGGAATTCACCACTCTGCATCAACTTAGAGTTAGAATTTAAGGCCAGAAATTAAAATAAGAGTTTTCAGTATGAACTGACTTGTTACCCTTAATTTCATTGGTTCGTCCATAAATTATAATCTCGTCAGTGCACATAAAATAAACTGAAAAAGTAATTAAATAGTTTGCGTAAATAAATTTCTTTAAAGTAATGGTGTAGCTCTTAACACATTCAACTTTTAACTATTAAGTCTCAGGTGCAAATACTTTTGTGTATACTTTAATTTGGTTAAATGTGAAGTATTATCCAAACAGTGCTGTCATAGGCCAAATATACATACACTTGTACTTGATCCACTTCATATATATATTATTTCTTCCATTCATATTATTAACGAAGTCATTATAGAAAGAATGCTCAAAGTAATTTAGCTTAACAAGAATAAATGATAAGAAAAAGTGTGCTAGAAAGCAATGTATCTCTGTATGAATCTTTCTTTGTACATTGTTTCTCTTACTTTTTGTTGTTGTGGCTATTTTATTTTTGTTTTTCTAAAGAAACATCACTAAAAAATCTCATCAATTCATTTATCTTAATTTCATCGTCTTATAAAATTGTTTGTTTCCTTTTTTCATTATGCAAACTATGATTCACTGAATACATAAATACAATACTGTTTTCTCCCATAAATAACTTACTAGATGTATTTAAACTTTGTTTTCATTGTCAAATTGTTGTTTTAATAGTTGAATACATGAGTCGATCTAAGCTAGATCACGATTGAAAATCAGGTTTCCAATGGTGATCTTGCTTAGATCGACTCATGTATTCAACTATTAAAATCACTACAATCTCCACAAACTCCCATTCTGATATCAAATTGTTGTTTCTCTCTTGATCTCTATATAGTGTGAAATAGTTTAATCTCCTTTTTTAATCATCAGTTTTATTGACGCTTTTATTTTCTCTTCGTACAGCGGGAAAATCCTCTTATTACATGCACACCAAGTGCGAATAACTCCATTACTACTAGTTCGTCTGATACGACTATTACTACTACTAGCACTACACTTACTACTGTCATTCCAAATGAACAAAACACTTCAACGTTAAATAGTGATGCCAACTGTGAATCAATGACATCCATCACTGAGGATATTGACGATCGTTCACCTAATTGTCATTCTGAAGTAAAATCCGATACAGAAGATGTTTATGAATTCATTGAAGCAAATGGTAAAAAGTATCGACGTCATTTTCAACGACGTGTTGTCATTGAACGGCATAAAGTTAGGGAAGTAAGCAAATTTCGTTTTTCTTTTTCTCTTTCTTTGTTATTTTTTTAATGTATTTTACAAATTGATTAAAATTAGTTTTGAAAAATTGAAAAGAATGAGTGCTTTTTTTTCTCTTTTAATATCATTCAACAATATACAACGTCAATATAATTAAAAATCATGAATTCACTGTTGTATTTTCTAACCATCTAAAAGACATTTATTTATAATTCGTGTAGGCGTTCAATTTGAAACATTATAGTTTGCTATTGTAGCATATATTTAATATATTAAATCTAACTTGTCACCTAAATCTCAATATCATTCTTCCCCTGCTTACAAGTTATCGAGAATTTCATTTTGAGATACTAGTGATAATAATAACATTAGATAAAGTCTCATGTTAAAACCATTTTATAAGTTAGATATAAATAAATTGTTTCTTTTCTAAGGTATTTTTATTGGTTAAAAGTCGTAATTCATGCTTACTATATTCCGATATTCTACACGATCGACTAACTGATACTTTAGTGGATGTATTTGTATTGAATCTATTAACTCTAAACTGTGGATTGATTTAGGTCTGAATTGTGTAGTACATATATACTTTACATCATTAGTTTAGTCTCTTTTTATTCTGTGATTCACTCATTTAATATCTACGCTCGCATTTCAATGTTTTTCTTTAAATCTTGAGTGATTTTCAAATATCAGCTCTTTTCCTCTCTTCCTGTACTTGTTTACTGACTAACTATATCATTTTAATTGTAAAAGACTTTTAGGTTGTTTTGAAATTAGTTATTTGAATTATAACCAGTTTAACATAAAGATGGAGTAATCCTCACAGTTTCTTGTACCTATGACTAAACTACGACTACAGTACTTTCCTCGGTCAACTTACATCTGTTCAGATTTTATTTTGAAGTTAATGACAATCTGCCACCGTGTAACCCGAAAATATCTTCATTTGTTAGTAAATTTGATAAAATTTGTGTTCTGGATTATTCGTTGCTTTCTGTTGATCTCAGGGGCATTATCAAAACTTGAATATTTCCAAGTGATAGCCATGTGTTTTGCGATGTGTTATAATTCGCTGTTCTAAAGTGATGTCAAATGTTTACTTAGTTTATATAAGAATTCAACGCCACTATTTTTCAATGTTACATGGGTCAATTTTTTGTCATTTTTCCGTCAGATTATATTAGCACCATCACTTCCAGATGGTATGGGACCAGATCTTAATCGAGTTATACTCAGCCGATCTGATCAGACAAATACTAAATCCGTCAACAATAATAATAATGAACTTATTCCACCAATTAATACATTATCATTAAATAACTCTTGTAACTCTTCTTTAAATCATATCAATGCATTGAACTCTTCTGAATTTAAACCTCAATTCGGAAAATGGAATATTTCCTGTGATAATGCTGCTAATGAACACAACGATTGTATGGATCATGACGACTTAGAAGAATCCCAGTTCACCAAAGCTGACGCTGGACCACCAAAACCATCTTTACCGAATGAGAAACCATGTAAGAGATTACTGTAGAGTTTTACATTTTGTTTGTAAAAAAATCCTATTTTATTAATAAAAACTATAATCTACAAATGTTACAGTAATATATATAACCAGAAGATTGTAATCAGTTAGAATCTAGCTGTATGTCTGCTACACTGCTTCATAATTTCTAAACTATTAATAATTAGATACCAAGCCAACCAACCTATAATTATATAGATCACTTAATGACTTCATTTCATTATTCATCTATTCAATCATAGGATAAATTATTCTCCATTTAACTATTGCATCTCAACTTATACATATGATATTGTTTTTTCAAGAGTAGTATGTGATCAGCTAAGTGAAATATGCTGTTAATATATGTAGTTTCATCACATCAAAATATAATTAGATTACAATAGTATAATTATGTATTGTTTACTAGAAAAAAGTATTTCATAATTAATGTACAGAAATGTGGTTGCATAACAAATGTTGATTGACTGTATAAATAAATATCATAAACACACTTGAATAATTTATTTGTTTTACCATCTTATTGATAAATTAAAATGGAAAAATTTATTAATTATCATAATATGACTACTAAACTGGTACATTCTTTGGCAGTATTCATAGTCTCATAGTTAGTTTCACTATCCATATTTGTTTAGCTTTTTACTATTACAAAGTTTACTGTATCCTTCCAATTGTGTTGTTACAGTAACAAATACAATCAGATCTGTCGTGCATTACAGATAATGTACGAGATGCAGGAAAATATTAGTAATTACCAGATTGTGTTTGCTTGTTCTCATTTGATATGTTGAACACTTTCCATTTTTCTTCATTTGGATGATGTCATAAAAAAACTTAAAAATTAGTCTATATTCAAAACCAATTTAATACCTTTTCCATGTTAACTGAAAAATCACGACCTGAATAGATTTGAATTTGATTTTCATTAACTGTCTCTACGATGTTTATTTCAGTTAGATTTCAGTAGTATATTAAACATATCATCATTGATGAAATCTTTAACGTTTTTCTATGTACGCTTGAATTACTCCGTAAAGTTTATTGACAAATATTTGCCTCCATCATATATAATCTCATTTCAGTGGTTAGTTATATGTTTCGATTCGGATCATCTGATTGTGACAATCCAGATGATGAACGACGTTTATCTGATCGATTAATTGATTTTTTCCGTGACCAATGGTTAAAAGAAGAGTCTGCAGCGGGACCACATGAACGTAAAAAAGTTATTTCTTATACACAAAGTTATACACAACCTGCAACCAATGGTGATTTTATTCATAAATCAACGTGGATTCAACATACATGCACAGTTCGAATGGTGAGTTATGTAACTATTTTTCTCATAAATCTATAACTACGTTAACCACTAATCTCATTTTATTTAATATTAATTAGTTCAAATAAATGAAAAGAATGTAAATGGAATTGTGATCCGTACACTATGTACTCATTGTTTTATGAATTAACAATTTAAATCTAAAGATTAAAATGTGATACATTCCATGTAGGTAGTTTGGTAATAAATAAAAATATGTCATGTATGCAATGTTATCCAATATATTATATAATTTCACTAAGAAATTGTTTTAATAATATTGTTTTTATAAAGTTATCGGAATCTACTTTTTTTTAATTTTAGTAATCATAATGGTGAATAAGTTTAGCAGTTAGTCTACATTCTTTTTTCTCGGTTTATTTGTATTTTGAAAGAGTGACTAATTCTTACCTTCTGAAGTACATGGTTTAATAGACCTCCTTATATAAGGTATCCAATTTAATGTGATTTGTTAGCACATTCTCTGGTGCTGTTAAATGTATGCTGGTGGTTTTCACATTTCGGGTCGCCCACACCTTTAAAGGATAGTTTTTTTCAGGTACCTGAAAAGAAAACCGGGTTATGGGTGGTCCTGACCACTTGGTTGTATTACTGTAGAGTCTAAGGAGTTACTCGTTGAAGCTGACCGCACATGAACCTTGGTTCTTGAATTGACAGCTCCTTATATTAAAGGCCTTATCTGTGGCGATGGAAATCTACGGAGAAAGGTGAGGTGTACCACCTTAAAGACCAATACTTTTAAACCCAAACTTTCTGTTGTGGAAAAATAGCATCGTATCGCATGCTTGTTGTCTGAGGGAATCACTGTACTACCGTCAAACTTTGTGCAATCATCAGAATGACATTGATCTCGGGCCCTAAGCTACTACTTTTAGTGTTATTGTTCTTCGACTAACTTATTGAAAGTGTTTCAGCCAATATAGCTTAATTAGCTGATCGCGATATCTAACCTCAATCAGCATGCCAGAGTAACAGCTACTGTCAGATTTGTAAGCATAATTAACTTGTTAAACAAAATCTAATTGTTGTACCCAGTCTTTCCCATCATATAAATTGTTTACTACCTGTTCACTGAAAGATATGTAATTGTGTCTCTACCCAAATTGTTAACGGATTTTAATACATGGTAGATCTAGATAATTGTAAATATACACTGGTATGTGCCGCTAAATAATAAGAATTGTTGTTATTCTTGTTAAAAATGATACCGAATTCCAAACAAAGTAAATGATTATAAAAAAGATGCTAATATTGGTGATATATTTAGGAAATGATCACATACAAATGTATAGAACACTTTTGTGGGAAATTCGAACTATGGATTTTCCGAAGAAACACTAATACGCACTTTTTAAATATCATTGTCTCATCGTTAAGTCGATCAGAAATCTTGGATCTGAGATCATTTAAACTGATAAGGTCATATATAACATGAAATGATAGTGAGAATAAACATTCGAAGTTATTTTAATGGTAACATCTTCGTTACTGAAAATCTTTAAAGAGGAATCATTAGTCCAAATGTAAACTGACGTGGGGATTTAGAGTTATAAATGCGAATGAAAAATGTGACTATTGGTTTTCTAGTTAGACGTGTGATCTTACTCTTACTTGCCAATTTTAGTCATTGATTTTAAAGTTTATGGTATCAGAGCACTCACAATTTTCGAAATAGCAATTAGTCATTTGTGAAACCAGAAGAACATCAAGCTGTTAAAATAGTGATAAGAAATAAAGTAACTTTTGATGGAGTTTTGTTCTATGAGCTAGAAACTCAAGTATATAGGAAACCGACCCATACAGATCAAATTCTTAACTACAATAGCAACAACCCAAGAGCACATAAAATCAACTGCGTGCAAAATTTTGTCAAGAGGCGAGGATACACTGCAGCACACTGGCAGCACGAAGAAAGGAAGAGAAATACCTGAAGGACGTACACGACCAAACCATCCAGCTCAGAGAACAAAACTCCATCAAAATCATCCACCTGAGCTACAAATCTTCTCTACCATCTCAATAAAGTAACTTTATTGTAAAAAATATGTCTGCTATCTCTTTTGATATACATTTAATATACTATTTAAAAGAATAGAATATTTCGCTCGAGATAGCACTGATACAACTTTTTATCTATACTTTGTTCTGTAACTTGTAACCGGAAAACATTTCGTTCATTTTAACTGATAACATAAATATCCAAACTATGGATTTGTTAATAGTTTCATAGATTTTGATTACATTATATTCACTTCTCAATCCAGAAGCATTTGCCTTTAAAGTAAAAAAAATCACCCTTCAGAATATCTTTTTCCAAAGTGCCGTTGAATAAAACCTGATTTTTTTCAGGCTTTATTTCATCTAGTCATCTTATCCCATTTCCGTGGACGTCTTACGAAAGAACTGTTATACTGGAATAACTGGTGATTACAGATGGTTGCAGTTATTCACCGAACCGATCTTTGTATTGTGAGGGAATATTAAGAAAATAAAAGCCTTGTCTGTCTAACTGAATACTGTATACTAATGAAATAAACCTGTCAATTATACACAGAAAACTAAGCTTAGAAAATATAAATACGAATATCTTAGTTTATAAAACGACAATAGACTGAAAACGAAGACTTGAATCACTTAGAATCTGCTAAATCTAAACTTTCGATTGTAATATTTAAATTCGTAGAAAAGTAGCACCTAATATTTATAAGTAATGTAATTAAGTGGTCAGTCATATAGAAGCAACTATTTTTATGGTGAATAATCAAAATACTCCTGTTGTGATGCCTTGATTCCTTTGTTTCAATTTTGTTGTTTACATAAGCACATTTTACAAATAACGTTTTGGTAATTATTTTTGTTTTTATATTTTATTCCAGGTTGGAGGTCTTCAAGGATTAAAAGCTCAGGTGGGTTCAATGTATTTTGTTTATTAAAAATTTGTATTATGCTATTTGAATTTCTCCTTTAGATGACCATCAGTATCTATAAGACTAAACAAGTCACACAGTTGGATGGAATAGAGAAAGATTGATGAAGTATATCCTGTTAATCAAAATAAACAGTCAACATCTGTAGTATGAATGACTCATCACTTTGTTTAAAAAAATGTGGTTAACGCCAAAGTATTTAAATCATGTGTTGTATTGTTACCAGATATTTAAAAGACATTAGAGATGCTATTCATTAAACAATCTCCTACATAATACATTTAGTAAACAAACTATCATGTTATTATCTTCAATTTTAAGTAAATCCCAAGGTTGTGTCGCCATTATTATTTTGCATGCTTGTTTTTACTACTTACAACCTTTCAGTAGCAACAATTTATAAATGAATTTTTAAAGTTGATTATGTAAACTCTCGACTGCTAGGATATATAGATTTCACTGTTATTCGAATTATACAGAATAATATCCTTTTCGCAGTACACCAACTCAGCAAAACCCTGCACTAGAAAGCAGATTTTAGCCTTCGTTTTCTATAAATCGTACATTAGATTCTCAGAGAAAGAAACAGTAATCAAAAACTTCATATATATTTTGGCTTGTAGTTACAGTGGTTGAGTATTGTATTTCCATCCTACTATTTTTACTCAATACTTCAATACTGGTGGTAGAGCAATACTGTTCATTTTCTCAAACTATTAAAAATTTCTTCGATATGATTAGAAAAACTCAATTCAGGGGTATATTGGTGTTATTTAGTTTTCTCCAACTAACATCGCTTTTCTTACTGTTCTCAACAAAATATAAACTGACCGTTTCAATAATTAGTTTTCTCACAAGCTGATTCACTTATTTAGCATAAAGTTAATAAGTTTTATTGTATATATTTTTAACTGGCCTTACAATCATTTCCATATTATCGCGTTTGTCTTCTCTTTTCAATCAATGACACCACTATTTTTATTGCGCTTAATTTATTTTACTGTAATAAAAAGTATCATCCAGTGTTTCATGTATCGTATCAAATTAAAATGTAAACTGTTTTCTATCCGTTTTTTTTATTTCATATACAAGTTCATCATTATTGATAGACATCTTATAATTTATTCCATCTAACTATTATTTGCTTAAATCCAGTTTTGAATAATAGCTATTTATAAAATACGTTTGCAACTGAACGATGATTCAGTAGAGAAAACCAATTTATTGTTGAATGCAAGATTACGGTGTGTTTTCGTAAAATATGAAAACCATACATTAAATACGTTATTTTCACATCTTCCTTCAGTTGATCTTTACATGCTTCATGATTCTTTCAATTCTACTTTTATTACAATTACCTTTAGTTTTCTTTTCTGTTCTTTTCAATTCAATCTTCTATTGCCAGGCATTCAACTTCCAATTACTGCTACATTCTACTTTTATCTGTCAGCATAAGTAGCATCCACTACAGTACAAACATACACTTAAATGTAAATCTTAACCGTCTTTTTTTCCTATATAGTACATATTTGGTTTGTCTAAGAACTTTTTATTTTCATGCTCATTATGAGTTTTGTTGCAATTTACGCTCACAGTACTTTACAATGTTTATAACAATGAAATTTATTTATTGAATAACGTACGAATGTATTTTTACGAAAATCATTATTAACTACTTACTCACTGAAATAATTTCATTAACTGGTATCTAAAAATACGTGTAGAAAGTTCAATTATAAGAAAATCCTGAACTTCGTGTATAAATGGTTTTTTTTTCTTCTCAGTAAACATGTTACTAAATAAATTTTCATTTGCATTGAAATGTATATTAACATTTCCTGTAACTCTGTATTAATCAACAATATCAGTATAGGGTTGTGGAGATTTTTGAGTTTTAATTGAGATCATGTGCCGATCAATCATGGATTGCTTGAATTTAGACATTAACACCATTGTATGCCGGCTCAGTGGTCTAGAGGGTATGTGTTTGAGCGCGAGATCAAAGGTACTGGGTTTGGGTTCCGTGTGTGGGATCGTGGCTGCACGCTGCTGAGGATCTCCATACCAGAACGAAACGGCCGTCCAATGCTTCCAGGTTTTCAGTGGTGGCCTAACATTGATCGGTTCATGATCTTATTAATCAATAATAGCTACTTTCTTCAGCTGACTATATTTTAGTGAGCTACTTTGTAAACGTTCATTAACTCTAAAGTAAATTTTCATCGTAAATTGATACTAACTGCTGAACCATTGAAAATTCAGAGAGTAAAATATGATTCTTACTGTTGTTCCAGTTGTTTAACTTAATCTATGGTAATAAGCATAACACTAAAAAGTATTCAGTTCATATGTGTAAATGACGGTAGAGAGGGTTTATAGATCAGATAGATGTTTCATTGTAGTGTTTCGTTCTTTATATTTAATTCCAAATCTTACACTGTCTTTTCACATAATTTCACAAGCCCCTTCTTTATGCAAAAACACACCTTTTAACCTTTATAAATCTATTCCATTGACGTTGTGGTTGTTACATACAACTACATTATACAAGTGAATCAAACATGTTATCATAAAATACATGTTTTATTTTCGAAATTTGAACTTAAAAATCTGTCCATATTTCTAAAAAATTGTAATTTAATGAAATAGGAGAACATATCTCTGTCAGTTGAAATGTCTTTTGAAATTGTTTTCTAACAAAAAGGCTGTTCTATTTCAGAACTCTATATTTTTTTTTAGAATCAGATTTCCCGTGATTAATCTTTTCTACTACACTGCTCTGACATATCATTGTACTAATGTGATGTAGCCACCTGGGCCGATACATATATGTGCTATGTACTACATTGCATATGATTGACTGACTAAAGGCTGTGTAGGGAATTATAGCGTCTGTCTGATAACTCTTGAAAAGCTGTGATCAATTGTAATCATGTATCGAGGGGTTTCTGATATGTATTTATGGTCCTAATTTTTAATCGACACATCACTAGACTCTTCTTAAGCTTATTCTTTTCACCAATGAATATATGTGACAGGTTCTACGTTGCTTATTACTGACCGATTGGAATCGTGATAAAAAAGTCATCTTGTACCTTTAATTTCACACCTATTTTAGTTTTGATATTTCCTGTTTCATTTGAAGCTCCTGATGTTGACGTCTCATTAGTTGAGTGTGGCTAATAAAATTCAGTGGTTTTCTTTCTCATGGAAGTGTTTGATTTTCCTTGACTTGTTTAATGATGGAATTGATATGTTTGTCATATCGTATGTCTTCGTAGAATACACAATATTTTCCAGTTAACATACATTTAAAAGTAACGGACTGGATGAAATTTTCACTGAAAAAATTTAGTTTTACCATCCATATTGATGATTACGTGTGTGAAGCATAGCTTTCATGTATAGATATGTATAAGGGTGAATTTTAATGACTTGTTAGATTTTCTAAATTCCATTTGTAACATAGTAACAATAAATACCCCATATCAGTGATAAATTTGGTTATGATAAATCTTATGGATATTCTTGTGTAGACTTCTAAAAATAGGGTTATTTATTTCACTCAGTGTATGTGCATGAACATATGCTTACTTGGTGATATAATCTCCTACTAATTGACAAAAAGATAATTAAAATCTTGATCTGTATATATGTACATTAATTTGTCTTTTAAAAATCACCTCTATGTCGCCATTCCCATCTGCAATTGCATTACAAAATATTAATTCTGTAATCTTTTTCTGCTCACCAATGTTATCTTCTCTCATTGATGTTTGGTGTTAATCCACACTGAAAATTTATTCAAACTGAATACATGATTATGTAACAATAGATCGATAATTGCATGACATATATTACATATGTATATATGTACTGGTGTTTCTCTATCTTTATTGCTTGTCAGTACTGAAATTATGAATGGATGCGAACTTACACAACCGTATCTTTTCAGTTTGTTATATTTAACAAGCGACTATTTATAATGATTGAAATATTGTTTATTCAGTTATTTACTATGATTCATTTTATTTACTAACTGACAAGTGTAAGTTTAAGAATCACTATATATATACGTGTGATATGTATCAACCATGCATTACTGAACAACATATCAATATGTAACTGGAGCACTACGGTATTATTTCGATTGATAATTATTTTATGTTGTTAATGATTATCGTACCAACAATCTGTTTTTCGGTAAGTAAGGAAAAATATTTGATTAAACTTTATATATGTATATTTATTTGTCATCATAGAAGTCATTTTCTTGTAACTCTTTCAATTAATCATACTGTTGTACTACTCAAGAATAAAAATAATTTCAAACATCATTCATTTTGATTAGAAAGTCTTATTAAATTACCTTCGAGTTTTTAAAAAAACTCTGAATGAACACTTATTAGTGTAAAATTAAGCTAGTTCGTAGTCAGTTTGGTCATTTATAGTTTCAAGTTAAATGAATGACGTAAACAGAGTGTATTTAATTAATCAAAACTTTAATTGTTTATCAAGTATCCAGTCAGTATTTCATTTTTAATACTTTTTTAGGTACATGAGAAATATCTATTCAAATGTAGTTTAATTAATATCTTAAATTCACTATTTCAAATTACATATCATATAGGGTTCAGAGCCGTATCAGCTATCCGCTGTTCATTTACCATATGTTCACAATAGAGAGTATGCTTGAGTTCTGCTTTATATAATGTACATAATTCACTAAATTGTTTTACATGATGGTGATACAATTGGTTAACTAAGCACAGGTCCATGTACCTGACCTAATGTTAGACTTTTATATAAGCACTAATGATATTACATTGCTAATATAGAACCGAAATGGGCAGAATGTTTTTTTTTCTAAATGTATCTCAATGGCTAGAAGTTTAGTTATTTAGTTACTCATGTTTCCTGTTTTATGTGAACTGACTTATTGTGTATGCAATTTGAAAGTGGAATATGGCTACAATTTGCACATTAAGCACTAGGTCGATTGTGATTAGTGTTTTTAAAAAAGTCCATGTGATAGTTTTGCTAAAGCATTTAATGTTTTTATATACCTTAAAATAGCGAAATATTCGTATCATAAATATTGAAGTTGTTGATACATTGTGTTTCGGTGGGTTGATTTTCAATTCGTATTGACGTTACATACTTGTTAACTTTGCAAGTGAAAACGTTGTTACTAAAAAAACATGCATCTTGATATGCAAAGTAAAATTAAGGCAATTTTTCTTAATAGTACAGTCAAACCTAAGTGTTAATTTAAAGAAATAAATATTTTCAGATTTTTCTTTTGTGACTTGGAAGGTTTAGCTGACAAGACTTCATTCTCATTCTGGATAAAACAAATACATATACGCACTGATATTGTTACCCAAAACAACATTAAACGTTTCTCAATTAAATTATGCAGTTCAGAAAACACAACACCACGAAATACATAATTTCGAACCAAAAACATCCAGAATAAATTTTTGAAATACTTGGTGGTTGTCACATTTTTTAGATTCATACTACATATTGTAAAGAATACTTATAGTACTCTTATTTCTGCGCGCTCTTCATCTTCCTTTAACATTCTTTTCATTTTAAAGATGTTCAGGAAATAAACTTTTTTTCTGGGACAAATCACCCCATCTTTATGATTGATTCATTTCATTTACACGAAGAAGCATGATAGCATAAAATACTCATAAACGCGTTTCAAATCTAAGACAGTAAATTATCGTTCACTTCTATGTTCAGCTTTGAAGATAAACGTTCTGAAATCTTGAATTAGATTTTAAGGAATTATATATGGGTTTAAGTGCATGAATTCTAATGGAATTCTGTCTTATTTCTGGTAAAGAATATACAATGAGAAAAATTAACCGGTGCATTTTTCCTATGAATAAAATTTTCTTTATAGATATTTATTCATTCTTTGTTAACCATAGAATGAAATCAGCTTTCTCTGTCTAATTTCAATATACCTGTTCTAAAATTTGGATAAATCAACTAGGTTGCGTGAGATAGTCATGGAATGTTGAAAATACGATTTGATATTTTGAATTGTTATTAATTATAATAACAAATATAATAGTTATCGCTTTTGTTTATACGGTTCCTTCAAGCTTTTGTTGATTTCAATAAAGCACGAACACTATTCATAGTAGATTCATTTCTATCATCAATTCCCCTTCAGCTTCTTACAACCAACATACAATAGTATAAATTAACAAAAAAAACAAATATATACATGTTATATTATCACATTTACAGAAAGTCCTAATCAAGGTACATTAGTAGAAACGAATAAATATGTAAGAATCACAAGAGTCGTTCAAATGGTCGACTGTATTAACATTCTGGAAGGGAAAATCGAAGGGGATGTCGATAGATTCCGAAAAACAGAAAATTAATATTATATATTACTTAATGTTATATACAAAAATGATTGATCAGTGGAAATAATCGTGAATGTGAAAAAAATGCAACATTTTGATTAAAGGTTTAAAATTTTATGTTAAGCAACAACTTCATAAGTACTCATTCCACCATACCAAATAATGATAACAGCTAGTTTCATTTACTTTTACAAATTTGGTACGGAATCTATGAATAGTAATTTTATACTAGTTGTAGTGATGATGTTTTTTTTCGACTTGTTTTTATTTGAGTATAAAAGTTGCGTAATGTGTAATAACGTAATGATGTAATGTATGATAATTATTTAATGGAACCCCATACGCTTATCAGGTAACTAAATCATAACAGAAATGCATTTTCATTATTTTTCTTCTACCATCATTATCCTTAGTTTAAGTGTTTTTTGCAGATAGATAAAAATTGCTGTAAGGAATCAATCTGTCTGAGAGTTGGGAAGATTGTGCAACTAAAATAAACATTACTCAACTACTTAAACTAAATCTAGTGAAAAGCTAAGATGAAACCTGATAGTTAAATATATAGTGTTTTTTTCTCCTATTAATAAGCCACATAATATTCTGTTTCTTACCGTTCGATAAAAGTTTAATTTTCTGTATTTTTAAGTAGTTTAATTTACTTCTAGTTAAGTTGCGCGTCTATCTTTTGTTTCATTTTACTTAGAAAACAAGTAAATTGTTTATTTTGACATTCCGTTGATTTCCTCCTATCCACCATTATTCCATCACTGCTATTTCAGCTTGAAAATGTTGTATACCGGCTTATTTATTATGATTGACACAAAGTTTGACATTTGACACTAAAAGTTCGAATTATGTTAATTCATCAACTTATGTTGCTGATCATTATTGTAGTTATAAACATGTGGTCAATCCTTTTTATGTAACCTGGTCACAGTGATTCGTGTATACATGTATTTATTTGATACAAGCTTGTATTATATTCTGTGCACACCTTAGTTTACTATATTCACGTGTTCGTGATCTAAGCGAAGTATATATATATTCACACGCACAGAGAATATCCATGTGTCTCAGGTCGATCACGTAATTTGCAAATAATCAAGCAAAATTGTTTGCTTGTAACTAAAATATTTCTCTTTTTTGTTTACTAAATATTACTTAGGCTAGTCGTAATGCTGAAATGAAATTACCTGAAGTATTATCAGATGAATTTTCAGATAAAATATCTTGTAATTCACTTACTTCATCATCCAATGAAAGTAAGTTTTCTTTATTGATAAAATTTTATATTTTCTTCAAACAGTAACATCATCTTTAATTGAAGAACCAGATGTATCACAACAATTAAAATCGGATTCATTAGAGTTTAACCGTCACAAATCACAAATCATGTAAGTTACAGTATTTTTCTTATTTATACCTTCGGTTTTAGTTTATAGGGAGTGAAGTAGTTGAGCGTGTCCACCGCTTTACTTATCTTGAGAGTCTCACCAGCCCTTGTGGTCTGGTGTGTGACGAAATCTCAGCACGGATACAGATGGCTCAACCAGCTTTTCCCAACTTGCATCAATTATGGCGTAGGTGAGATATCTGCCTACCAACCAAAGAACGGGTTTACTGCACAGCAGATCGTTCCGTTCTATGACTGTGTAACATGACCGGTAAGAGTAGAGGATATTCGTTGGTTACTAGAATTCGACATAGGTGTCTTCGAGGCACTGCTCGTATATCCTGGGACCACTGAGTAAGTAATGCAGTTGTTAGGAAACGGGTATTAGGTAAGGATGGCAAATCAATTTACGAAGTAGTGAAACTTCATCAGTTGAGATGGCTGGGACACGTGTTACGTATACCCAACCAGCGACTGCCCCTACGAGCAATGTTTTTGATGCAAGAGTAGGTTGGAAGAAAGCTATGTGTGGCAAAACTAAAACATGGCACAAATCCATGAAGTCACTGACAAGTGGTAGGTTATAGACTACCTGGTTGGGATCCGCGAGATGATAGCAATCGATGGTTAGAGACCTTGAATGACATGGCTCAAAATGGTTTGCAATGGCTCAGGTTCATCCAGTCTTTGTGATCTCCCACATTCTAATCTTCTGAATTCTTCATGTCCCTTTTCTTCTCTCTTTCCAAATTTATTTCATTGGATTGTGGTCCTTGAATATGATATTCGAACCCTAATGTTTCCGATTACTGCCTATACTTTTACTACCTCTACCACTATGGGATTCGAATTGACAATTGTATCTGTGTGCTAATGTGGTATGGCAACTCAAACTGATGTACGTACGTACGACATTCTACGTTGTTGCTGACTGACTGACTTGGTTTTAATAAATTAACTAATTTGTAGTGAGAATACTAAATATTACAATGAATTATGACATAATTTCAAGATTCAACCGTTAATCAAACTTGGTTCATCTTTAAATATTTATTTAAATACCCTATACAATCTTATCAACAATTGAATTGTATAAATAACTCTGTAGATTTTTTTTCTCATATAATACTGTAACTATAACTTAAATATTTCTGATTTTATAGTCCCACCATACTCTTGTGATGATTCGAAAATATTTATTATCAAATTTAGTAAAATAATGCTTATTACTATAATCAGTGAAGTATCATTTTAGGTTTAATGAATACAAGCCAACATGGACTGAGTTTAATAGAAAGCCGAAGTGTTCATAAAATAATTTGAATGAGTATATATGTAATTATTCTTAAACTTACTAAGCTTATCTGACCGGAAGTTTTTTCACCATGTTAGACTAACTAAAAATAATTATCCATTAATTTAATGATAAAGTGAGTATTTTAGACTATCATACAATCGAGTGATTGAGAATTAACTATCGATCAGTACTGTAGTTAGTTTTTCTATACTGATACACAATTTATTATTAAAAACTGGTTTTAATTGTTTTAAAATTTTCTTTTTGACTGTTACTATTTACTTTCAACGTCTTATAGTATTACCAGTGACGAAACAGACGATGAAGAAATACGTGATAACCATATCCCTACAGTAACTCAAGAAAGAGAAATTTACACAACTCTACCTATCGTGGAAGTTACCAATGTACTACCTATCTTAAGTCTTTTAAAAGCAAACGATTATTTAGTATGGGGTGATCGAAATTCTGTAAGTATCAAATAATTCATTATTATTATTATTATAAATATATTTATTGTTATTATTCACTAAACACATAAAGGAACTGAATGAATATTTTTCCTTCTCTTGAATAAATAATAATGTAATTGATATTTCTTAGATATTAATAATTATTCAAATTATGTTCAAATAATTATTGAGAATATTCGTACCTTTGTTTCATCAATGATGAAAAAGTCATTATCATTCACTTCAAACATTGGTCGATTCAGGTGAATAGTGAATCACATCTTTTACTCTGTAGAATCAACCCATAAGTGTATGTATTCTAACAAAATATTTCTGAAAACAATTAAATAATTAAGCCAATTGAAACTAACCAGTTGTTGTTATCATGCTTTAAATTATTCATCATAATGGCTACTGACTACACTTTCATGATTAAATCCATTTTTCTTCCAAATTCCAATTATCCTTCGTTGTTTTAAAGAATATAAATTATTTATATTTCTCTTTTATTGACGTTAAAAGTGCACTGCATTAAAAAGAAAAACCTTTTTTACTTATTTCATTCGCTTAAAATTGTTGTTGCGATTTACGATTACACTTTCTTCATTTTCTTTTTCTGTAATAAGTTAGTGTATTAATATTGACCATAATATCTTTAGGACATTAACTAGCTGATAATCTAAACTTGGATAACCAGGAAAAAGATTCAATCAATTGTTAACTAACTGAAAAATCATCCTACATTATATTCATTTACTTTTGTAGTTTACTAAAAAGAAATTTAAAGTTTTATGAAGATTTCTTTTTTCGAACTATAGTGAAGCGATTAGTTCATTATTTAATGTAATCTATTTAATAAATTATTATTAATGGCTTCTTCACGCCCCCGGTTGCTAAGGCACTTTTGCGCCCTCATACGTGTTAGGAATAACTGACATAACTTATTTCTATCTTTTGAAATTAGCTTATTACATTTTTATCATTTACTAAACGTTAATTACATAATATCATAGTGATCAAATAAAAAACCTTGGTAAAAATTTTGTATTTGAATTAATCCTGATTATTAATGTTGATAATTATTTCGTAAAATTCGATGTATAAAAAGAGCATTCTCCTGTAGTGTCGGTTATTATGTTAAACCCATATAACTTATTCTGGCTTTCTGACAGGTCAGTCTACTCATTTTACTTGAATTATATTCTAACCTTGTTAATTATTCGCTTATCAATCTTCACTGTTTTTATATGAGCGCATAGGTGTGTGTACACTTCTTATCCCATTACTCATTACATATCTGTAACTTATTTTGTGTGCTTATAAATATTGATCAACGCTTGGTTAAAGGGGAGTTGGCTTACCCGCCATCTTCACTGTGCCTCGTTTCCCTTCGCTGAATTCCATTCGCTTCATATACAAAATATATGTATTCAAAAGTCCGTTCTCGTTATTTGACTTATTTAATTCCGTTATTGACTAACGCGATTTAAGTCGATGATTATATACGAGGATAGGCGACATATACATTTCGACAGCAATCATTCATACGATCTACTTGGAGTCGAATCTCGGGCCACTAAAGTGGACGACAAAATAAAGGGCTCCTCCAAACTCCTGATGGTTAAGATAATAAACATCTAACAATTTAATAACAAGCTCTCTATCCTTCTACACCTATTTCTCTATCGAAAGCTAGCTGAATGGTTTCACTAGTCCCCAAATATAATGTATAACTCAAACCCAATCACATAAAGACTTTTTAATGGTTTTTTTTAAATGCTTTTTAACAGTTATTCATTTGAACATTCTTATATTTGTTGTGTTTACTGTACCTTTATTTCATTTGGTAAATTTCATTTTTTAAACTGTACAAAGATTTGTTCTTTATATATTTTCTTTTCTTAGCTAAATGATATTTCTGTACATGCTGGATGTATTGATGCTTTAATAGTGTATATAACGTCATATGGCCGTATGTCACCATCATGTAAGTTGATTTTTTTGTTTGTTTGTTTTTCATTGTTTCCAAAGTTAGTTTTCTATGAGCCCTAGAGTATTGATTTCATTTTCAATTTATAAGATAGATAATTAAAATTGAGTCAGTGATCTAAAGTTATAATGCTCGTTGAGAGACTTCAGAACCGTGAGTTTGATCCCTGGTTAAATCGTACCTTTACAATTCAAAGTAATCTCAAAATAGATCAAGGAGTCATTTAATGCTCTTCTATTTCCAAAAAGTTAATGATAGTTTCGGGTTGTTTCAGATTATAGTCCAACCTAACTTTGGAAACAATATATCTTTATCTCTGATTTATACATAAAAAAGTATTTTTATGGGATTTATTTTTGATTAATATCAGTTGGAAATCCATTGACGATTGTTTAGGAAGACTAACTATAATATATTCGTAATGTATATCCTGTCAGTTTGGTTTAATTTCATAACGAATGTCATTTCTCCATTACCGTAACAAATGTCGATGAATAAGACGCATGACATAATATTTCGATTATATGAATTCAGCCTTATATCAAGTCTTCAATAGCTGTAAAAAATATCCCAAATAAACTACTCACTGTAGTGTTCGTATTTTTCTCGTTGTTAGTGTCAACTGTTTAGTACGGTAAATACTTTGCTCGTTTAGTATCATTGTGAACATCGATATTGAGATCCAGGTACAGTTGACTAATAGTTTTCGCACATGAAAAACACAGGTTTCACATTTTCCTGCTAGTTACTATCAGGGATATTATTTTCAAAATTAATATTTCTGCATTTTGTTTTCAACAAAAATAAGGTTTTTACATTGTCGTTTCTTTATTGTTTGTTTGTCTATGTTTTTCTTTTTTCTTTTGTTACAGATTATTTATTTTTCGAAACATTTCTTTTTATGTATCGTTCATTTATGACATCTGATGAATTAGTGAACCGTTTGATAACGCGTTATCATTACTTTAGCCATCCTCCACGTTATTTATCGCATTTGACAAATTTATCTCATGAGATCAGATCTAAAGTGTGTACGTCTACCGTGTCAATTTTAGTGACTGTGGTAAGATTTCCTTTTTGATTATTAGTTTAATATTACATTGGTTTCTATTAATTCCATTGATTTATGGTTGTATAATCTTATTGTAAGTGTTTATGTAGTGATTATTTACGGGATACTCGAAGTTTTCCAGAAATCTATGTATTTGTAACCTGATCACACTTTTTATGAATAAACTAAATTTATAGTATTTTAATTTCCAAATTTCATCCCCCTCACATTTTATACTTTTATAGTCATATTACATCAACTTGCTTCTGTCATGCATATCTGGTCATCAAATTATTTCAATTACCTCTTCATAATTACTGGTGACTTACGATTATACTAGACTGTGGTATTTTGGTACCTACTTCTAAGACGTCATACTATCGCTACTGTACCAAAGAATATATATAATTTGTGTGTAATGCGATAGAAGTTAAGAGTTAAAGTTTTAAAAGAGGTTCTTCTTATAATTATTTCAGGTAATAGTCCTAGAATATTAAGTTAATTTTATTACAATCTAGCACAAATGTAAGTTTAGAAATAAAAAGAGGATGTGTGAATCCTCCACACTAGGTTGTGATTTCACTTAACGCAAAAAAGATAGGTTAAAATATTACCGAATCAATTAAAGGTTAACTATTTACTTTTTTTTAGGTATAAAGGTCATATTGAAACCCAATTGCCATGGTTTCTACTAAACGTAATAGCGTGGAATTGGACGTTTTATGGACAACTTTCAATCAATCGATTACACTTACTGTGTGCTCCTTGTCTAGTTGATGACATGCTACTGAACTACGTAGGCAATTATCTCCTCGAAAGCGTAGATTTTCTGGAACATGCCTATTAAAACGTGAATTATGTTTTTCTGGTTAGCGTTTTTTCAGCGACTTAATTTTCTACGGGATGGAGTCGTTAACCCCATGCCCAACCCTCATCCCTTATCCGGGCTTGGGACCAACAATAGCCCCAAAGGGACTCCGCACATAGTAGAATATTACCTATGCACTTGGAGTCGCATACACATTTAAAAAATATATGCAATTTCAGGTAACATACTAAAGATGATGATGTGGAAGCCATCTTTTCTTTAATTTTTTAATATGAATTTAATGTTGAGATTCACTGTATTGAAAGATGCGAGTATCTTGTTTGGATAACTTACACCGCTAAGTAAAACTAAAATATCACCGGTATTCCGTATATAAGGTGTAATCTCGTTGATAACAGTATGTAATATTTTATTTACAGACTTCCAAGAAATATATCGTCAAGTTCTTAACCAAAGGATTGCCCATTGCGTTTTCATCTGCTTGATAGTATTGTTTATTATTACATTGAAACTGAACGTTCTTAGTTTATAACCTTAGTAACTGTGTGATCTGTGTGCATGATCTCCATATATTTTATGAGTATTGGCTAGTAATGTCAATTGTTTCTTTCAAAGAAATAATGGATAAAGTTAACGATATGCCATATAAAACTATCAGGTTGTCCGATGTATTAATTTGACGTATTACTTCAGTAAAATCAAGCTCCTTTTAAGTTTATACAACCAGTGTTTTACGAATCGATCCCAGTTTGTTAGCTAACCGTTGGGTCAGTTCGTTGCAGGTAAAATTAATCTTCTTTATAATTGGTCTCATTTGTAGATTGGATTTGTGTAATTTGGCCTGCTCAAATAATTACAAGAAAAACCCCTTTTAAAACTTTAACTCTTAAAGTCTGTCACATTACACACAAATGATTGATTAATAATTCAATTTCCAATATTATTTCAATAAATGGAAATAAGTAAACATGTAATGTTGTATGTAATTGAAAAGAAAGCAGCTAAGTACAATGAATTTATCGTATTCTGAAAGTATTATCGTTCTTACTTTGTTTAGATTTATGAAAACAATTAATTGTATGAAACATTTTTCTTTATTTTTCTGAATCACTTCTCTCTTGATTACAATTTGATAGTACATTAAATGGAAATTATTGAATATTTTATCCATATTACATTCCCTTTTAAGTCTGGTCTTAGTTAAATTGTTTTCTTGGTTTTGTCTCATTTTAAAACTAGGTTACACGATTAAAACATGATTTAAATGATAAATTACTAGAAATTCTTCAAAATTTCGAAGAAACACTTTCACAAGACGAATATAAATCACTTAGTCGAATTTTACACATTACAATTTTTCGACAGTCACAGGAAAACTTACAAATTCATTCTAACTCAAAAAACAATGAGTTAATCAATAATAGTATGCATAAATCTGATTCATTTCTATCAAATAGTGGTCGAACATCATCAGTAGGAGATATATCATCCGACCAATCCATGTTAAATAGAATTAAGGAAACAGATCAATGCGCTGAATTTAATGAAAATATTGGATTTATCACATTACCAAAGACTAAATCTAGACGATCACATGCTTTGGAAAATGTTGATCGTTATTCAGTGATTGAATCGACAGAAAATGATTATGTCAATCCTTCTTCTACGATAAATTCACTTCCAACTAAAAGAATATTGTTGAGTACATCAAAAAGTAGTCTTAGTCTATTAAATTTCTCTGCAAAATCTTTAGCTGAACAACTTACCTATTTAGAATGTTTAAATTATTATAAAATTAATGTAAGAAACTTTTTTTTCATCTATTTCGTGTTTTTATTTGTTATGATTTGATTTTGATAAAATGAAGATTATTTGATTATTTATTGTTTTACAAATAATGGTCTGTGTATTGTTATTAATAGTGGTAGTATTTTTTAAGATTTACGACTTCAAGAGGCATTTCCTGGAGTTCAAGTGAAAAGCCGTTACCAATGGAGTTCAACCAGGTCTGTTGTGAGATATCAGCTCACTGAAGACAATGGTGTACGGTGGCGCAATTTCATGGATTAGTTTGAGTTCGACATTAACTCCGTTGGATGCCGGCTCAGTCGTTTAGTGGTTAAGCGATCTCACGCAAGACTGGTAGGTTCTGTATTCAAATCTCGCGGGGGACATGATCGTGGATGCGCACTGCCTAGGAGTCCCATACTAAGACGAAACGGTCCTCCAGTGACTCCAGGTTTTCGATAGTGGTCTAGCTTCAATTGGCTCATGATTTCAACTATTGAAATTAATATTAGTGTTAATTTAATTAAAGATTTTTTATATAGAAGTTACCAACAGTCAGTGCTTGCCTCAACGTTTTGTATGATGATAAATGTAAATTGTATACCAGACAACATGGTCTGAAGTATGTGGATATTCATTATCACCAGAACTATTAGCTATAAATTTATGATTTACTGTCTCTAACCATACAGTTCTCATTAAATGTGGGTACTCGATTGTTCTGTGGTTTTAAGTGTTACACATGCACAATGCTTGTGTACTACGATCGTGATATACAAATTTGGTTACGTGGGTTTGCATTTAGAACAAAGTATGACATTTATCCACCACTAGGATTAACTAGATTGTAATGATGACCTACGACATCAGATTTTATTTCTTTCTAATAATCAGTCAGTTCTTAATAGTACGAACACAATATTATTATTTGGCGAAAATTCAAGCTCGACTCTTTGTTTCCTTTAATTTTTAGGTCTTTGAACTGCTTGACATTTCAAAACTAGAACAAGGTAAAGCACCTGGTGTAGCCGCTTGTGCACATCATTTTACAATGCTTTCTAACTGGGCCACATATCAAATTTTATCCTTGACAAGTGCATCTGATCGTGATAAGGTTGCAAACCGTTTATTGGATGTTATGGAAGTGAGTTGTTAATTAGCCTTATAATAGCTTTCAGTTTTTATTTTTCCCTGAAAATCAGCTTTTAAAAATCCCAGACAACACTAAACACTTGTCAATAAAATAGTTTTTTGTAGCGTGAAATATTTATCACTCTCCAGAATATTTTATTGATTGTTCCCAGCACCTTACTACAAACAGTGTCTTTAAAAAAACTAATAATCGATTTAATAATTGCAATTATAGTGCCGTTTACATTTGACACCATACACTATTCATCAAATATATATACATTGTAAATTAACATTACGTTGATTTTTAATTTCTCTATCTTCTAGCACTTGTACAAACTCCAAAATTTTAGCTCCTACCTGTCTTTACTTTGTGCATTTCTCCTAGTACCAGAAGCTTTGTTTTCTCGAAAAACACTGAGTGTAAGTCAGCTTGTTGATAAATTTCGGTCTTTTTTCGTAAATTTTAAAAGATAGTACGGCAAATTTCTTCTTTATATGTTACATGTTCAATATTATTTTTGTAGTTTATAAGAATTTGTATGAACATTTATCCTAACACTTTTAATAAAGTTAGGTATCGATTCAGTAAGCGATATTCGATGCATAAAGAGTTTGTTATTACCTTGAAGAATCTCGATTTAGACTCGTTGGTAAAACATTGGAACTGTTTATTTTCAACGATGAAATTTTCTCAAATATAATGTTATATCTGATTATCATTAGAATTTTATCTCTCTCTTATTGTGTTCCATATATTCACTCAACTGATATTTTCAGGAATAGCTAAACTTTAAATTCAATTGACATATAATTCTTGAAATATATTTCCATTGTTTACTGTTTATTACGTGCTTTTGGCTGAAAAAAAATTGATCATGCTGAGGCATAAATTATGCGTTGGCAATTTTATTAAAGGAAAGCATCGTAACAAAGTTACTGAATTTTGCATTCAACTAAATTTTTTGTCTATTATGAAAGATATCATTTCAATTAATGGAACTCTTTATGTCATAGACAATCAGTCAGCTACAACGTAGGACCAGGCACATATATTCATCGGTCCAAGTTGCCAAACCTCATTAACGTAACACTGAATTCGTAGAAGTAGTTAATTCAATGGCAGTAATATATAAAAGAAAGATTGTGTATAAAGATATAGTACAGGAAGAAAGAATTAGTTAATAGAAAGATATAAACCAATTTTAATCTCACACTTTAAGGGAAAACAAAGTGTTTATACACCTACGCCATTGTGATCAATTCTGACCCATGTCACCCAGAGTCTCCAACCATTGGTTACAATAGTCGTACGGACTTCAACCAAGTAATCTGCATCTACCAACATGGCTCAGACCAGAAATTTGTGACTTTATGAAGTGATGCTAAGTTTTGGTTTGGCCGCCCCTAACTTTCTCCGAACCGTCCCCAACACTAGGCAGCATTGCACACCATGGTTATTTTATTTAAACACATAAACAAAGAAAGCACCAAAAAAATGTGCACCACATAAATCGTTCGATTTGTGTGAGGGCTAGGATAGTGACCGGGTACCCAAACCGGAACAGATGTTTTTCTTAGGGTGCCACACGCCGAGTCTTTGGCCTAAAGGTCTAATCCACAAGGCAGTGGAGCAACGTTAGAAGATGCAGTTCCATGGTAGCCGCTGACCAACGATTGGTCCACACGCCCTTTGTTCCCTCAGGATCCTGAAGCCCATGTGCACCATCGGATTCTCTATATCCACTAACTCGGTTAAGGCGCCGGACACTCGCTTTTCATCCTCTCGATTTCGTAAACAACACCCCACCACCACGGGAAGGCAATGAGTAGGAATTCCCTGGCAGTGGCTCTATGCACGTGACCATGTGAGAGCATTTGGGGGCCACACCGTTGTAATCGGTGGCTTTATTCCTTCTCTATCAAAAAAATTACAAAAGTTTTTTCATATTACTCCTCTCAATAGCTACTACCTTTTTTATGATTACCCACCTTTGTACAAAATGCACATTCTCTCTCTCTCTCTCTCTCTCTCTCTCTCTCTCTATATATATATATATATATATATATATATATATATATATATCACATTTCTGTGCTTTTCGTGTATGTATTTTTGTGTCATAGCGTCTTAGTCGGGTTACGCCGTACATGCAACCGCCTTACTTTTCAAAATATCGTCGTGACTTAGAAGCAGCCAACCCACCATTAATACCATATTTAGGTTTAATGCTGCAGAATTTAATTGTCCTAGATCAGGGTAATCCATTGTTTTTAAAGACTCTTCCAACCCAATTAGTTGATAAATATCAATCATGTCATGGTCCTATTATAAACTTTTGGCGATGTTGGAAACATTTTTTGATTATACACGTTTTCGTCAAACAAGAGAAAATGGATCCTGAAAAATCGTAAGCGATCACTGTTTGTTTGTCCTTTTTTAAACATAATAATATAATTATTAAATAAAATTCACACGCATACAAATGTATTAGTATTGTACAGCCACCATTAGACTAATTGTCATTACCAGAAAATAGCTGGATATGAATTTTGATATTGTAACTAATTGTAAATTACATACTGATATACTGATTATAAATAATCAATTCGGTAGAATAACTGATTTCAGTGAGAAACAAAATCTTTAAGTTCATTAACTAATATACGGTTGGAATTTATACTTTGACCGGAGTTCTTTATTAGGTTAAACGAATAATTATCTGGATAATTACCCTGACTAGCAAGCTATTATAAACCAGTTATCACTGAACATCTGCTTCCTTCTAGTAGTAGATTACCCAGTACAACCCACTCACTACTTATGGTCATCATGTCTTTCAGCTCGTCAGTTACTTTTAGACTACTGTGTTTGCACTCGATAATTCTTAGTTTTCTGCTTTCATCTAACCATCTTTAAATCTGCTACTTTGACCGAACTTTTCACCCTGATAATAAGCATGTAGCTAGCGCTTGAAGTCGAATAAGTACAAATAAAATCCTTTAGTGGCCCGAGATCTAACTCCATTTGGATCGTATAACGATTGTTATTGAAATATACATATCGCAAGCCCTTGCAAAGAATTATCGTCTTAAATCGCGTTAGTGAATAACGGAATTAATATAAGTCAAATACGAGAATGGGTTTTTGAATACGTATATTTTGTATAATCGTTGATCAGAAAGCGATGTAAGGCAAAATGACACGCAATGTAGAAGGCGAGTGAGCCGACTCAATTTAACCAAGCGTGAATCGATATTGATAGTTACACAAAATTAAGTTACATACATGTAATGAGTAAAATAAGAAATGCACATAAATACGCTCTTATAAAAATAGTCAAGGCTAATAAGCCAATAAGTGACAAGGTTAAAATATAGCTTGAGAAGAATGGATAGGTTGGTTTATCCAGAAGCTAGAATAACTTATATGGGCTTGACATAGGACCAGCCACTACAGTCTCTTTGGCCAGTTATTTAAGCACACTTTTTCGTCGAATTTTTTCTTCACTTCTTCATAATTGTTTTAATAATTTTATGGTTCTATCGTGCTATTGTTATTGTTGCTTTCAGTATGCTGCAGATGTGTTAAATATTGTTTGTTGACTTGATCATCGGTATCCTACTAGAACTAGTTTTAAGATATGTGCTAATAACTAATTATTAATACAGGGTCAATCAACTTGGAAATGCTTTAAAAAGAAGAGGTTTTAAAAGGTAATAAACTATGAAAAAATGCTTCTCTTGAAGATGTGCATGCAATTTATATGCAGTTGAAAACAAATTTAAAATTCAAATGAATCTCAGTAGTTAATGTTAGTTAATAACAAAAACATTTGAGGAAAGATGGAAACAATTTGAGATCATAAAAACAAATAAATATTTAGTTGACATAGATTGATAAACTTAACAGAATTCAAAAGATAACTATGTGGGTGAATTGTCACATACTGTCTACTACAAACATAGTCGTCACATGTATTCTCTGTTATATGGTGTTATTCATGTGTTATTTGTCAATAATTTCCCATTGAGTTTTTAATATATATTCAAAATGCTCAAAATCTATTTATTCCATTCAATACCATCGGTAAATTCTGAATGTAGATGTACCCATCATGTCCCTCGATCTATTTATTTTAGCATGTTTTATCAATATTCTCAACCACTAAATAGCTTATTACCAAAAGAATACCTAATAGATTCTCTACGTAGAACAACCTTGAAGTAAAGCTTTGGCTGTATTACCACCTTTATTGTTTACTGTTTGGGATTGGTAAAGCAGTTGTTTTCCAAAAGTTTGTTAGAAATACAGTATAATTTACAAGCTCACTTATATATATATATATATATATATATATATATATATATATATATATATCAAATGGCGTATTTTCTTATTGTTTCTTATTCCCATCAAATATATAGTCGTTATTCGATCCGTCCTGATTTGAAAATCTTACAATTTCTTGGCAATTTTAAAAATTCTCTACCTGAAGCAGAATTACGTCGTTTAGCTAATCGTTTACGTCGAAGTATTTCATAATTTCATCATTTAATTATAATACAACACTTATGTAACTTATTGTTTGTTACTAATCAGCTCATGTGTATAAAATAACCTATAATATGTACAATAATACCATTGTTTTAATGTATCATTTTACTCCCCTTTTTTAAAAAAATCCATATTTTGAAGTAATTTTGAATTGTAAATTTCAAGATTATTTTTTGTTGCTTATTATAATATCATTCATACTGTTAGATTATTGTTATCATTTTTTGTTCTAAATATATAATGAATATCTATTGTATACTACTCAAATTTTATTATTGAATAACTAATATTTGTTTATATTTAAGAGATTGGCTGTGTAGTTTCTAACTTTATAAACGAAAAGATAAAACAATGACAATCACATATATTTCTCTCAGATTGGTTCCTCTATATATTATGTATTGTGTTGTATAGAAAAGAATATATATATATATATATATATATATATATATATATATATAATTACGTTTCAGTTCATTATATCATCATTATTATTATTTTTACTCATTATTATACTGCTCAAAATTTGTAAATACTTCTCCATTATTGAAAAGTGTTTTTTTGTCAATCCATATGTAATTTAAAACCCATTAACTTGGTTTTTTTATCATAAATGTGTGCAAACATTCACGTTGTTCTATAGTGACAATATTATCTTTACCTACTGTAGAATATCACGGTAAAAAATCTTTCCATCTGTTTAGAACCTCATCAACTAATGTCTTATTAGTTTTTATCATAATATACTTATTTTATTATTATAATGATGATTATTGCTCAAATATTTTGTTCATGTTTCTTTTATTACTTATACCATAGATTTCTTTCTCAAAAAGGGTTATTGTAGTTAAGGATTTATTATTTTTATTTTTTGTTTTCTTAATAAAATGACTTCAATTTCTTTATTGATGTTAGTAGATAAGTAGTGAATTTGGTTAGTTAAGGAAGCTTTAATGCTAATACAACTTCTGATACTATCAATACTACTACTACTACTACTACTAATAGTGGTGATAAGAGAATTAACGACAGTTGTTATTCATGTCACAATGCAATTATTCCTTATATCTTTATGAGAAAATAAACATTTACATTGATTTTACTTTATATGATAATATAATCCAAACAAATACTTACGCACACTTTTGTTTTTCTTGGAGATAAAACAGTTCGTTTTTTACGTATATTTATCCCATTTTTAAAACAAAAACAAAAAGTAAAAAGATAATAATATGAACTTTCATGTCACTCAATTTCACAAAACAAAAACAAAAAAATTTTTTTCACATTTATTCTTATCAATTTAATGAAGTTATTGAATATTTATATATGTGTATATAAAAACATCTTTACATTAAAAGAAAAAAACTATTATGATAATAGCTTTTATGATTGATAAAAATAATTTGATATATTCCCATAATCAATATTTGTGGTAATTTATTCACCTACATTCTAAGTACTGAATTACTACAAGATAAAATACCATTAGATTCAATTAGTCGAATAGCATTGTTGCATTGTAAATTTACTCATCAAATCGGTGAACTATTTATTTTTAAATAGTTGAAATCATGAGTCAACTGAAGCTAGACCACTATCGAAAACCTGGAGTCACTAGTATGGGACTCCTCAGCAGTGCGCATCCAGTGATCTAATGGTTAAGCGCTTGCGCGCGAGACTGATAAATCCTGAGTTGGGATCCCGCGGGGGGCGAGATCGTGGATGCGCACTGCTGAGGAACCTCATACTAGGATGAAACGGCCGTCCAGTGCTTCCAGGTTTTCCATGGTGGTCTAGCTTCAATTGATTCATAATTTCAACTATTGAAATTACTCAAATCTCCACAAAACCCCTTCTGAACTGTTTATTTCACTTTGATTTATCATTAAGTATAAAATAAATTATATTTGTTGCCACCTGAATTTTAGCGTAGTGACTAAATTCTTATTTGATTATATTTAAAAAATGACAAACGTTTCGGGTTTCCCGTATGTTAATGCTTAGTTGAAATTCGATCATTAAACATTTCATAGTTAGGGTTATTGAATTTATCAACACTAAATATGAAATAAATGTATAAATAGTATTTTGATAAATTTTATCATATGTTAATACAGTTTTATGGTCTATATCTAATCAATTAAAAGTTCATTCTTTCAAATTTATCTTATTCGTAGATACTTAACAAACTTTAAGAGGAATATTGAAGTTATAGATTCTACCAGAAAAAAAAAATTAATAAATTTTGTCCGCTTCCAAGTATGAAAGTATACTTCACAGCAGCAGAATTTTGAATTAAGTCATTGCTAAGGTATAACAACTAGAGAGTGTTATTAATGTAAAAAATCACGAGTAATCTTTGCGGTTTAAAGGAGTAGGTAATATGATTCAAAGACTAATAAGTGAATCATTGAAAAGACACGATTAGTTGAAAGAAAGCTTTATTCACAAGACTTTTAAAAATGGAATTTATCTGACCGAATTCCTTAATTATGAGACTTAACAAAGTCTGTCGTATTCTTAAAAGGATTACAGATTGTTTTGTTGCTGATATACATACTGTTTGAATCTCTGTCAAGGAGACTCTGATCTATTTTTTAATCACAGTACTTAATATAATCAGGGAAATTCATTTTGGCAGATGTATCTTTTCACATAGCTGCTTGTGTCGAGAAATTATTTACGCGGGTCTAACCACTATTAGGCTGTGTATACTTTGATATCACTAATTACTATGCAATGAATCGGTTTACAAATTTACCTATCATTTACTGCATGGATGAGTAAATTAACATACAGATTGTCATTGGAACGTTGTAGATGCAATCTAAAGTAAACAAATCAGTGATTTTAGATAAGCACTCTGTTCTTCGTCCTAGTGCTAGGTAGTTTTGGAATAAGTCATGCAGATGGTGATTGATCTTCAATATTTTTAAAGTTAGGTCCCTACCGATATCTTAAAGTTTTGTGTTCAATCTCATATAGTATGATTAGTGAGTTGTGCTATAAAATTCCAAACTAGACCAAAGAATCTCATTAGTGTTGCGCGGTTCTTTAGTTGTTTATAACGTTTTATCTTATATAACTGGCATAAATAAAAAACATATGTTTGGCTGTTAATAAAACTCAAAATGCAATAAAGAAATTCAGGCGAGACAATGATTTATGAACGAACTAATCAGGTGTGAGATATCAGGTCTCGGACTTTGGCTCAAAATTCACTCATCCATCTGGTTAAATAGAGTTTTGGCATTATAGCTGACGTCAGTTCGTGATGAAAACCCTAAGTCTAATTCCTAACCTTAACTATCAACTGTAAATCATGATTCTAGTTCCTCACATTGCTTTATAACGCTCATTTGATCCTAGTTATTAAGTAGATACGCTCAAGGTCATTTTAGCGTCGCTCAAAGGTCGTCCATAAATTATAGTCTCACTGAAATTCATCCTTCTGAAAAAACGTTATCAACTTTATATGAATCGGGATTTTGTGCATGCATACCTTCTGTTTAGTCTAGAAATAAGGAAACCTAATTTTTTTTTTCAGTTTAATAAAAATCATTCATAAACATGATTTCTACATTTTATCCTGAACAAAATCAGTGTTTATATATGATTTCTATCTTCATTCAATATAGTAGCTGAAAGGAAGTGTTACTAGTTGAAAAGAAGAAGAGAAAGATGAAGCGTTCATTTTAGACGAGAAAAAACAAGTTGATAGCAATGCTAATTTGGAAATGAATTCAAATGAGAAAAACAATATCAAAAACCATTTAAGTTTTGGAATTATTTAAACAAATGAAATAAATAAACGTTAAACACCAAAGAGGAAGAATGTATCTGTAAAATCAAAGTGAATGAATTTGAAGTAAATCCAATGCTTTGTCCAGCAATTTCGTTCAAGCTTTTTCAAGTAAATATAATCAAACATCAAAATTATCGAATAGAAATAGGTACATGCTTCTGAGATGGTTCTCCGTTTCACTGTTTACTGAGTAGATCATTCAATCAACGTTAACAATGTTTAAACAAAGTATTTGGTTTAGTGTGTATGAAACGAAAGTGTGTTAAGATAACAGATTGTGTGTATACGTACGTGATAAGAATGTTAGTTTTGTTTATTAAAAAATTTCTTTATACGAAGCCTTGATTTAATCTACTAACTTTCAATTTATTTATTTGCTAAAAAAAACCTAAACAAGTAATGAACATTATAATTGAAATTAAAATAGAAAATATCTCATGTCAAAATTACCTTATGCAACAAGATCTGGTTGTTTTTTTTTAATCTTATATTCATGCTTATCTTATTAGTTAAGTAATTCATACATCACCACAACGAATTCAATCATAATATTTCTTTTCCAATCTAATCTTGATCTGCTTGTGTAGTGGAAAGCGTATTTGGTTTACATGCAGAAATGTTTTGTTTTAAACAAAATTATGAGTCAGAATCGTATCTATTATTGACTTATTGATAAGGAAATATAATCTGGTCGGCGGCCTGTGCTTTATTGGGAGTAACAGGCGTAAGTATGTTATTTCAGGACTCATTTAAGACATGACAAATAAATTCTTAAAATTGGAACGGAATTTTAGGTATTATTAATAAAATGTTGCCTTATAATTTAATAGAACTAAGTAATCGGTAGATTATTGGTACCATCACCATAATGTATGAGAACACAAGTGGAGACAGCCAATATATTTCAGTACCAATTACAGAATCTCTTGTTAAAATATGTGAACCATACAGTGAATACTTCATTCGCTTATGTCAGTTGTTGTAACAGTAATATGATATTCGTTTTATTCAACTCTATGTTCAAGACAGTAGGAAATTCTCACACAGCTTGGTTTCAGCATTTCATATCAAATGGATTTTACTATGTAGCTATTGAACAACATAGGGTACCATGACGCAGTGAAATAAGACTTCCTTATGTGCCATAAAATGACCATGAAGGTGACTAATAAAACATTTTCCAAGAGTCTAATGATGTCTTATCACTTTAGATAACATTTAGTTCTCCGAAATTATTAGGGTAATAATTCTAATTTATGGGACATGTAGAGATAAGATTTTTAATCTGTTTGGTAACTACCATTTTGAATGAAGTCACTTAATTTCGAACTACTATTTAAGTACACCATCTATCTCTTACTCATTACAATTTTGTTCGAATCTTCCGCTTAACGGATACTGTTCAGCTCTCCTGACAAATTGATTAACAGGGTTACGGCTTATGGT